GTTCCTGGTTGTCCGTGTACGTTCCTGGTTGTCTGTGTACGTTCCTGGTTGTCCGTGTACGTTCCTGATTGTCCGTGTACCTTCCTTGGTTGTCCGTGTACCTTCCTGGTTGTCCGTGTACCTTCCTGGTTGTCCGTGTATCTTCCTGGTGGTCCGTGTACGTTCCTGGTTGTCCGTGTACGTTCCTGGTTGTCCGTGTACCTTACGGAGTATCCGTGTACCTTACTGATTGTCCGTGCACCTTCCTGGTTGTCCGTGTACCTTCTTGATTGTCCGTGTACCTTCCTGGTTGTCCGTGTACCTTCTTGGTTGTCCGTGTACCTTCCTGACTGTCCGTGTACCTTCCTGATTGTCCGTGTACCTTCCTGATTGTCCGTGTACCTTTCCTGATTGACCGTGTACCTTCCTGATTGTCCGTGTCCCTTCTTGGTTGTCCGTGTACCTTCCTGATTGTCCGTGTACCTTCTTGGTTGTCCGTGTACCTTCCTGATTGTCCGTTTACCTTCCTGGTTGTCTATGTACCTTCCTGATTGTCCGTGTACCTTCCTGATTGTCCGTGTCCCTTCTTGGTTGTCCGTGTACCATACGGAGTATCCGTGTACCTTACTGATTTTTCGTGTGACTTCCTGGTTGTACGTGTACCTTCCTGGTGGCCCGTGTACCTTCCCGATTGGCCATGTACCTTCCTGGTTGTCCGTGTAGCTTCTTGGTTGTCCGTGTACCTTCCCGATTGGCCGTGTACCTTCCTGGTTGTCCGTGTACCTTCCTGATTGTCCGTGTACCTTCTTGGTTGTACGTGTACCTTTCTGGTTGTCCGCGTAACTTTCTGGTTGTCCGTGTCCCTTCTTGGTTGTCCGTGTAACTTCTTGATTGTCCGTGTCCCTTCTTGGTTGTCTGTGTATCTTCCTGGTTGTCCGTGTACGTTCCTGGTTGTCCGTGTACCTTCCTGATTGTCCGTGTACCTTCCTTGGTTGTCCGTGTACCTTCCTGGTTGTCCGTGTACCTTCTTGGTTGTCCGTGTATCTTCCTTGTGGTCCGTGTACGTTCCTGGTTGTCCGTGTACGTTCCTGGTTGTCCGTGTACGTTCCTGGTTGTCCGTGTACCTTACGGAGTATCCGTGTACCTTACTGATTGTCCGTGCACCTTCCTGGTTGTCCGTGTACCTTCTTGATTGTCCTTGTACCTTCCTGGTTGTCCGTGTACGTTCCTGGTGGTCCGTGTACCTTCTTGATTTTCCGTGTACCTTCCTGGTTGTCCGTGTACCTTCCTGATTGTCCGTGTACCTTCCTGATTGTCCGTGTCCCTTCTTGGTTGTCCGTGTACCTTCCTGGTTGTCCGTGTACCTTCCTGATTGTCCGTGTACCTTCCTGATTGTCCGTGTCCCTTCTTGGTTGTCCGTGTACCTTCCTGGTTGTCCGTGTACCTTCTTGATTGTCCGTGTCCCTTCTTGGTTGTCTGTGTATCTTCCTGGTTGTCCGTGTACGTTCCTGGTTGTCCGTGTACATTCCTGGTTGTCTGTGTACGTTCCTGGTTGTCCGTGTACGTTCCTGATTGTCCGTGTACCTTCCTTGGTTGTCCGTGTACCTTCCTGGTTGTCCGTGTACCTTCTTGGTTGTCCGTGTATTTTCCTTGTGGTCCGTGTACGTTCCTGGTTGTCCGTGTACGTTCCTGGTTGTCCGTGTACGTTCCTGGTTGTCCGTGTACCTTACGGAGTATCCGTGTACCTTACTGATTGTCCGTGCACCTTCCTGGTTGTCCGTGTACCTTCTTGATTGTCCGTGTACCTTCCTGGTTGTCCGTGTACGTTCCTGGTGGTCCGTGTACCTTCTTGATTTTCCGTGTACCTTCCTGGTTGTCCGTGTACCTTCCTGATTGTCCGTGTACCTTCCTGATTGTCCGTGTCCCTTCTTGGTTGTCCGTGTACCTTCCTGGTTGTCCGTGTACCTTCCTGGTTGTCCGTGTACCTTCCTGGTTGTCTATGTACCTTCCTGATTGTCCGTGTACCTTCGATGATTGTCCGTGTACCTCACTGACTGTCCGTGTACCTTCCTGACTATCCGTGTACCCTTCCTGATGGTACGTGCACCGTCCGGAGTATCCGTGTACCTTACTGATTGTTCGTGTGACTTCCTGATTGTACGTGTACCTTCCTGACAATCCATGTACCTTCCTGTTTGTTCCCTTTTTGATTATCCGTGTACCTTCCTGATTATCCTTGTACTTTACTGCTTGTTGTGTACCTTCCTGATAGTACGTGTACCTTACGGAGTATCCGTGTACCTTACTGATTGTTCGTGTGACTTCCTGATTGTACGTGTACCTTCCTGATTGTACGTGTACCTTCCTGAATGTCCGTGTACCTTCCTGATTATCAGTGTACCTTGGCTGATTGTCTGTGTACCTTGCTGGTTGTCCATGTACCTTCCTGAGTGTTCCTGTACCTTCCTTATTGTCCGTGTACCTTCCCGATTGTCCGTGTACCATACGGAGTATCCGTGTACCTTACTGATTGTTCGTGTGACTTCCTGGTTGTACGTGTACCTTCCTGGTGGCCCGTGTACCTTCCCGATTGGCCGTGTACCTTCCTGGTTGTCCGTGTACCTTCTTGGTTGTCCGTGTACCTTCCCGATTGGCCGTGTACCTTCCTGGTTGTCCGTGTACGTTCCTGGTGGTCCGTGTACCTTCCTGGTTGTCCGTGTGCCTTCCTGGTTGTCCGTGTACCTTCTTGGTTGTCCGTGTACCTTCCTGATTGTCCGTGTACCTTTCTGGTTGTCCTTGTACCTTCCTGATTGTCCGTGTACCTTCCTGGTTGTCCGTGTACGTTCCTGGTTGTCAATGTACCTTCCTGGTTGTCTGTGTACCTTTCTGGTTGTCCGTGTACCTTCCTGGTGGTCCGTGTACCTTCCTGGTTGTCCGTGTACCTTCCTGATTGTCCGTGTACCTTCTTGGTTGTACGTGTACCTTTCTGGTTGTCCGCGTACCTTTCTTGTTGACCGTGTACCTTTCTGGTTGTCCGTGTCCCTTCTTGGTTGTCCGTGTACCTTCTTGATTGTCCGTGTCCCTTCTTGGTTGTCCGTGTATCTTCCTGGTTGTCCGTGTACGTTCCTTGTTGTCCGTGTACGTTCCTGGTTGTCTGTGTACGTTCCTGGTTGTCCGTGTACCTTCCTGATTGTCCGTGTACCTTCCTTGGTTGTCCGTGTACCTTCCTGGTTGTCCGTGTACCTTCCTGATTGTCCGTGTACCTTCTTGGTTGTACGTGTACCTTTCTGGTTGTCCGCGTACCTTTCTTGTTGACCGTGTACCTTTCTGGTTGTCCGTGTCCCTTCTTGGTTGTCCGTGTACCTTCTTGATTGTCCGTGTCCCTTCTTGGTTGTCCGTGTATCTTCCTGGTTGTCCGTGTACGTTCCTGGTTGTCCGTGTACGTTCCTGGTTGTCTGTGTACGTTCCTGGTTGTCCGTGTACCTTCCTGATTGTCCGTGTACCTTCCTTGGTTGTCCGTGTACCTTCCTGGTTGTCCGTGTACCTTCCTGGTTGTCCGTGTATCTTCCTGGTGGTCCGTGTACGTTCCTGGTTGTCCGTGTACGTTCCTGGTTGTCCGTGTACGTTCCTGGTTGTCCGTGTACCTTCCTGATTGTCCGTGTACCTTCCTTGATTGTCCGTGTACCTTCCTGGTTGTCCGTGTACCTTCTTGGTTGTCCGTGTACCTTCCTGACTGTCCGTGTACCTTCCTGATTGTCCGTGTACCTTCCTGGTTGTCCGTGTACCTTTCCTGATTGTCCGTGTACCTTCCTGATTGTCCGTGTCCCTTCTTGGTTGTCCGTTTACCTTCCTGATTGTCCGTGTACCTTCCTTATTGTCCGTGTACCTTCCTGATTGTCCGTGTACCTTCCTGGTTGTCTATGTACCTTCCTGATTGTCCGTGTACCTTCCTGATTGTCCGTGTCCCTTCTTGGTTGTCCGTGTACCATACGGAGTATCCGTGTACCTTACTGATTTTTCGTGTGACTTCCTGGTTGTACGTGTACCTTCCTGGTGGCCCGTGTACCTTCCCGATTGGCCATGTACCTTCCTGGTTGTCCGTGTAGCTTCTTGGTTGTCCGTGTACCTTCCCGATTGGCCGTGTACCTTCCTGGTTGTCCGTGTACCTTCCTGATTGTCCGTGTACCTTCTTGGTTGTACGTGTACCTTTCTGGTTGTCCGCGTAACTTTCTGGTTGTCCGTGTCCCTTCTTGGTTGTCCGTGTAACTTCTTGATTGTCCGTGTCCCTTCTTGGTTGTCTGTGTATCTTCCTGGTTGTCCGTGTACGTTCCTGGTTGTCTGTGTACCTTCCTGATTGTCCGTGTACCTTCCTTGGTTGTCCTTGGTCAATGTACCTTCCTGGTTGTCTGTGTACCTTTCTGGTTGTCCGTGTACCTTCCTGGTTGTCCGTGTACCTTCCTGGTTGTCCGTGTACCTTCCTGATTGTCCGTGTACCTTCTTGGTTGTACGTGTACCTTTCTGGTTGTCCGCGTACCTTTCTTGTTGACCGTGTACCTTTCTGGTTGTCCGTGTCCCTTCTTGGTTGTCCGTGTACCTTCTTGATTGTCCGTGTCCCTTCTTGGTTGTCCGTGTATCTTCCTGGTTGTCCGTGTACGTTCCTGGTTGTCCGTGTACGTTCCTGGTTGTCTGTGTACGTTCCTGGTTGTCCGTGTACCTTCCTGATTGTCCGTGTATCTTCCTTGGTTGTCCGTGTACCTTCCTGGTTGTCCGTGTACCTTCCTGATTGTCCGTGTACCTTCTTGGTTGTACGTGTACCTTCTTAGTTGTCCGTGTACGTTCCTGGTGGTCCGTGTATCTTCCTGGTTGTCCGTGTACCTTACTGACTGCACGTGTACCTTCTTGGTGGTCCGTGTACCTTCCTGGTTGTCCGTGTATCTTCCTGCAGGTCCGTATACCTTACTTTGTGTGAGCAGCACACCATCAGTGACCGTGAGCGTTGTATCCAGTTAATGTCTTCGTAGGTGTGACAGACTTTGTGTGGTTGGGGGCGTCTCGTGTTGAGGAAGAAGACACGTGGAAGTGGCTGGATGGGCGAAAACTCAACTTTAAAGCCTGGTCACGTCATAATTCACAACCGAATAACTATGGAGGGAACCAGGACTGTCTTGCCGTCATCTACAAAGATGCCACATGGTCTGACTGGTTTGATAATGTTTGCTTAAGGGAATTTTATTTCATGTGCGAATTTATACGGAAGCTATAGCTATTATCGTACACGTAACCGAGATGCGAGGACGTATACCATCCGCATGATGGGTCTTTTCACAGGGGGGCACGGGTGGCCCAGTCGCCTAAGGCACCGCAATTCGCTATACAGAGTTGCGTCCCTTGGGCACACCAGAAACCTATGATTGTGCGGATGCTGTGATTTGGTGGTGCTTAGTCTGTGAGAAGATAGCTCATTCCATGTGTTTAGACCGTAAACTAAATGTGTATTCCGTTTAGGGTTTAATCACATTTGTAAACATGTTTAGATCTAAACATGTCGTGTAAGTGTTGACAATCTAAGCACATTGTTTACAGTGTAAGTTATGGCTGAGGTAGGGCAGGGGAGATTATATCGTGATGGTTATTTACGCTACCTGTTAATACCATAAGTGACTATGCACTAAATAACCGTTATTCATTATTTGCCCCCTATAAAAATGGCTATTCTGTTAGTAAGTCACGTGACGACAAGGTCCACCTTGAACCGGATATGAATGCGTAGCAGATGAACAGAAGTAGACTTGATGAGTGAGTGAATAAGTATGATCTTACGCTGCTTTTAGCAATATTCCATCAATATCACGGCGGGGGACACCAGCAATGGGCTTCACACATTGTACCCACGTCGGGAATCGAACCCGGGTCTTCGGAGTGAAGAGCGAACGCTTTAACCACTAGGCTACCCGACCGCCCCTTAGACTTGATGAACTTGATGAGTCGAGGAGTCGACTGGAATATCGAGGAACTGCTGTGTTGTGTTATTTCTTGTCCGGGAGTGGACATTTAAATTCAAATACAAGTTTATCACGTACATCTCGACGTCCCAATCCATCCGTCTCGATTTTCTCAAGATTTGAATTTAAGTGATTAGGGTTTACCATGGTTTGTTTATATTTATCATCACATATAATTGCAACTATCTTCAAGGTATGGTTAATACGTTGGCATTTAAAATGCGACAGTCATCTGCCATCAATAATTTCGTTTTAGCTGAAGATGGAACCCACTTGTTTACGTGTGCTTCAGTTAATGGTTTTAATTTTACAGTATTACAGTGTTGTGGTGGTAATATCGAAATATGTTTTGGGCGTATTAACCAAGTGTTGTTGTGGTAATATTGATGTTGTTTTGGGGGTATTTACCAAGTGTTGTGGTGGTAATATTGATATTGTTTTGGGGGTATTAACCAAGTGTTGTGGTGGTAATATCGAATTTTTTTTGTGGGTATTTACAAAGTGTTGTGGGGGTAATATCAAAATTGTTTTGGGGATATTTACAAAGTGTTGTGGGGGTTACATCGAAATATGTTTTGGGCGTATTTACCAAGTGTTGTGGTGGTAATATTGATATTGTTTTGGGGGTATTTACCAAGTGTTGTGGTGGTAATATTGATATTGTTTTGTTGGTATTTACCAAGTGTTGTGGTGGTATTATTGATATTGTTTTGTGGGTATTTACAAAGTTTTGTGGGGGTAATATCGAAATTGTTTTGGGGATATTTACAAAGTGTTGTGGGGGTTACATCGAAATTGTTTTGTGGGTATTTACAAAGTGTTATTGGGGTCATATCGAAATATGTGTTGGGGGTATTTACCAATTGTTGTGGAGGTAATATTGATATTGTTTTGGGGGTATTAACCAAGTGTTGTGGTGGTAATATCGAAATTGTTTTGTGTGTATTTACAAAGTGTTGTTGGGGTTATATCGAAATATGTTTTGGGCGTATTTACCAAGTGTTGTGGTGGTAATATTGATGTTGTTTCAGAGGTATTTACCAAGTTTGTGGTGGTAATATTGATATTGTTTTTTGGGTATTTACAACGTGTTGTGGGGGTAATATCGAAATTGTTTGGGGGGTATGTACAAAGTGTTGTGGTGGTCATATCGAAATTGTTTGGGGGGTATGTACAAAGTGTTGTGGTGGTCATATCGAAATTGTTTTTGGGGTATTTAGAAACTGCTGTGGGGACTATGTCGAAGATGTATTTCATACTTAGTGGTTAATGGAACTTACCACCTTCATAGAGGATCGTATCTTCCTGAATTGTATAATAAGCTTAAGGGAGAAATAATTGATGATAAATCTCCCCAGTTCAGAAAACACTGATGTAATACAATCAATTATCAGGAGCTTAAAGCATGTATTTCCTTTGAGGTAAAACTTGGTCACAACTTCACGAATACTAGATACAAAATCTAAAATTGTTGAATTACGTTCCAGTAATAAAATCATATGTCATTAACGAGTCATGTTGTCTGTTAGTTTGAAACGTTTTGCAATATTGAAAACTTTATTTCATCGCTGCAGCTAAGGTTATAAATAATGTGCTAAATATAAAACGTCCAAACGTTCTCATGGTTAATTCACAATAACGTCATGGTATAATAAACGAGACGTAATAAAATATTCCAGGGAGTTTATCGTCGGTTAACTGCTCTTTCTTACACTGGGACACTGATTGACATTATGATTCTCAACATGCTACAACCCTGGCCACTCGAGCGTTATGAATAATAGGAAATGTTTTACGTCTTGCCTTGGAAGTGTATTAATGGCACCGGGTAATAACTTACAGTAAACTACGGTTATAACGAACACGCTTATAACGAACTGATTTTTAGGTCCCTGCCATTTGCTGTATTTGTGCTGGATATATGCTTATAACGAACTAGAATTTGTGGTCCCTTTGAATTCGCTATAACCGTAGTTTACTGTATATTGTTATCTCTGTGTCTATAATTATCATCCCCTGACATGTACAATACTACTCTCTGAATGTTTTTAACATATACAGTAAACTACGGTTATAACGAACTCTCTTATAACGAACTGACGGATATAAGGGAACTTACTTTTTTGGCCCCGACTACTTGCTGTAGTTATGCTGTATGTATACTTATAACGAACTACGGTTATAACGAACTAAAACTAGTAGTCCATTTGAGTTCGTTATAACCGTAGTTTACTGTACTCAGTCCTTTCCACGGAATGTTCGACGAAGTATCACGTGCTTGTGTGTGTTGACAAGTTCAAGAATAAAGTGAGTGAGTGATTGAATGTTGTCCAATACCGCAGCCAGCACAATTCCAGTTATATTAGGTTTGTCGGTAAGTAATCAATCTGCTTTCAAAGCACGCCACAGACTCGCGTTTCATTCATTCCTCATGTGTGTCTCACTCTTTCCGGTGACGAAATCACATTTATTTCAGGAAGAACCTAACTATTGTTCAGACAGCTATTACCAATTAAAGTAAACTAGGCTTAGTCCTACATACTCAAAGTAAAGCGAAATGTTTGTCATATTGATTATTTGCAATATATCGAGAGTTGTAAAAAAACGAGATACCATCACCATAAATCCAATCAGAAATGAAAAAGAAAAAATACATGCTCCTGTTGATGCAGAACTTATCTGGAGTATGTTCAATACTGGATTAGGGTATCGTCATTCAGAGTTTAATAGTAAAATAATCAATGCATTTCAATAATATGCCGAGGGGATAAGGAAAAGTGTATAATCGAGAAATATATTTCTCTCATGACATAATAGAACAGTGTACCTGTGTTCCGTTCCAGACTTCTTCCATAAAAAGTAAACTACAGTAAACTACGGTTATAACGAACTCAAAGGGACTACTAATTCTACTTCGTTATAACCGTAGTTCGTTATAAGCACATATACAGCATAACTACAGCGAATAATCGGGACCAAAAAAGTGAGTTCGTTATATCCGTCAGTTCGTTTTAAGCATGTTCGTTATAACCGGTTATGCTTGTCCGGAGTTTATACTGAGATATCATGCCGACAACAACTACCATATTTTAACGTCTTTTGGAAAGTCATACACGATTTCAAAGGTAATGAAATCTGTCATCTGTGAAGGCTTTTGCGATTATTTCACACGTTAGAAAATACATGAAAACGATGTCCACATTTACTCTCATTGTCATATGTTCATAATCAATTGAATGCTCTTATATGTCACGACCTGAGTAATAAATGTCAATCTGGCAGCCAAATGACACGTACATGTACATTTCAAACGCTGGTCATATGGACCTCGGATGACACGTTGATTTCCTAACTTGCATACATTTGGAAAATGCTGTCCTTTCGTGTGGTGATTTTTGAAATAACATGCTTTGCGGATTTCCACCTTGGTGGTTAAAAAAGTAAGATACAACGTCAACGCCAGAGAATAACCAGTCTCGATTATCTACCGAAACAGATTCCAGTGGGCGTAAAAGTAAAAATAGTTATGGATGGATCGCTGAAAATTACTGTTGACACCAGGTTTTACTCTAAACGTTAAAGTTCTTTTGTGAGAATGACAAAGGGTTACATTCGTCGGGCAGAACGTAATGATTTTTTGCAGCATGGATCGAAAACCAAATACAGTAAACTACGCTTATAACGAATATGTTTATAACGAACTGACGGATATAACGAACTTATCTTTTAGTCCCGGCCATTTGCTGTATATATGCTGTATATATATATGCTTATAACGAACTACGGTTATAACGAACTAAAATTGGTGGTCCCTTTGAGTTCGTTATAACCGTAGTTTACTGTAATTAAAAAAAATCTCCTCGCATATATTCAGAGAATGAAAAAATACTTCAGTCTTGGAGAGTCTTCATAGGTATTAGAAGTTGGATTACCATACCATGGAGTATATTTATGGATAACAACTTTTTTATTTATATATACACAACGTTTCAGGGCTACTGCATGTCCCGTCATTAAGTGACATGAACCATTTCATCCTGGAGGAAGTCATCTGCTAAAGGAAGCAGACAAGGAAGTCTGCAACTGTATATCGAACACCTTACAGCGACCTGTGAAGATCCGGGGAAGAGAGGTCTTGTCATAAAAGGCGACTATAAGTGTCGTAAGAGGCGACTAACGGGATCAGTTGGTCAGGCTCAGTAACTTGGTTGATACATGTCATCGTATCCCAATTGCGTGGATCGATGCTCATGATGTCAATCACTGGATTGTCTGGTCCAGACTCGATTATGCACAGACCGCCGTCATATAGCTGTAATATTGCTGAGTGCGGCGTTAAACAGTAAACAAATAAACAAACAAACAGGCTTAAGGGAGATGATGGCACCATCTGGCCACTGTCCCCAGTCGGATCAGTTCTTCCAGACTTGATCATGAGTGTAGATAAATGTGAATCCGACGTAGGGTAAGTCACAGTAGTGTTTTATCACTCCTGTTTTGACTCAGAACCACGTCTCGCCAGTGGCAAAAAATGACCTGACCCATTTAGATAACAGTCGCCTTGGAAACCAACTGATTGTAATCAAGATATCAACTACAGCCATATTACCACTAATTCCGAAACTACAACATATATCTGAACCCGTTAACTACCGATCCCCAAAACACGATAGGCATATCTCGATATGCAATATACGTCAGTGTTTCTGCTCCTCTACATGGGTACCCGACAGGGCGCAATATTTTAGGGAGCCCCTGTAGAAGCAATGGTAACAGTCGTAACGTCGGTAACAGAAGTAAAAGAAGTACAAGAGATCCACATCGACTTAGCATGGCTTATATCAAGATCCCACACCCTGGTTCAACATCACAGCAACACATTTTTAATTTTTTTTGAATGTTTTGGCAAAATGGCCACAAAAATCATATTAAGTTGTTCTGCGTATTTAGGTATGAGACAACACTTCAATGTCGTCATTCAATGTTCAATGTGTTAAGAGACGGTCTTGAGCACAAAAACACATCATGTCTGAAGCGTTTTCAGTGCGTGTCATCACACATACACAATTACAGCACATCGAAATTTCCGTCCCCGTGATGTCGTCAAAGTATGAAGTCAGCCGGTAATGTCTTCACTGCACGTTTGCCTTTCTTTGATTTTGTCGACAAGTCACTTTTCTTGGAACTATTGAGTTTTATGTTTGAATCAGACACGTCACTCCTGAAACTCAGGGTTTCATATACATGACTGTCTGAGCTGCCGAACAGCTCCCTGCTGTTGCACAAGCCGGTGAGGTCCATGTCGTCACGGGGCTGCAGCTCCTCTGTCCGATAGCTATGGATATATCTGTTTCTCTGTTTTAGCTCTCGCACTTTTTTAGCACCACGCCCAGTCTCCGTGCTGTTTTGTTCGGGTCCCTTTAAATCATTGAAGTTGACAAGATTTTGATCACATGATTCGTTTCGTATCACAGTTGTATCTGAGATTTCAGTTGAATCTGATTTCATATCATCTGTGTCTCCATCTTGCGACTTCCCGGCTGTGCTCTTTTTCATGTAATTGCTACAACAGAACATTATTGGTTAATCAGAGCCCTCATCATCTGTTTTATTTCAATTCAGTCATTTATTTCAACAGATAATGAAACGGGGTTCAGATAGGATTGCAATTTTGAAGTTATGTTTGTTGTTTGTTTGTTGTTTAACGCCGCACTCAGTAGTCTTTCAGCTATATGCAGCGGTCTGTAAATAATCGAGTCTGGACCAGACAAACCAGTGATTGACAACATGAGCATCGATCTACACAATTGGGATACGATGACATGCATCAACCAAGTCAGCGATCCTGGCCACAATCAGTAGTCTTTCAGCTATATGCAGCGGCCTGTAAATAATCGAGTCTGGACCAGACAAACCAGTGATTGACAACATGAGCATTGATCTACACAATTGGGATACGATGACATGCATCAACCAAGTCAGCGATCCTGGCCCCCGATCCCGTTAGTCGCCTCTTACAAGCACGGTCGCCTCTTACGACAAGCATGGGTTGCTGAAGACCAATTCTACCCCGGATCTTTGGGGGTACAAGTTTGAAGGTAATCGGTCTCATCGATAATGTACGAAAATCTAAATCTGATCGGAGAATAACTGGATCTTATATAATGAGAGGGTTTATTATATAAACCAGGTTTAATGTCAATCAAGGTTCTTAACGGCTTCAGAAACATCAATTCGAAACTTGTTTAAAAACTTATTAACTTGAAAGTTTTAAGTTTTGAGAACGAAAAGAATATACTTAAATGTGGAATGCCATTGCTACCTCCATTTCGCGAGTTAACAGGATGTGCGTAACTTTGTTTAAAGCAGTGTCTTGTGTGGGTGAGTGAGTGAATCGATGTTTTAACACCGTTTTGAACTGTATTTTATTTCTGAAGAGACTTGAAGATGTTTCATTACAAGAAAATTAAATTTTGCTTAAGTCAGGAAAGACATTTCTACCATTATGTGAGACATTCGTCAAGTGTGTAGCTCTTTAACAGATCATGAACATATTTTACTAATATTTTTCCAGTCAAAATATACTATTAAACAAAATATTGGATTATCTGGGTTTTCTTATAGTGCTGGTTTTGATTTTTCTTTGATACAGCAGCCTGCAAGAATCATGGATTGTTGATGCTGTCCTTTTTGTAATACATCTATTGGTGAGTGTTCTTCTACATCATTGCAGAGCACCTTTACTGGGTATATAAACCTCTTGGCAAAACTGCCAAACAAATCATAAAGTTGGCATGCTTAGATTGTAAACAATCCATGTTGAGGCATCTTAACACGTTGTACCGAAATATCTGTTTTGCTATCAGAAGTTGTACTTACAGAACTATCTGGTTGTATTTACAGAGCTATCATGTTGTACTTACAGAGCTATCTGGTTGTACTTACAGAACTATCATGTTGTACTTACTACCCTCTCTGGTTGTACTTACAGAACTATCATGTTGTACTTACAGAACTATCATGTTGTACTTACAGAACTATCATGTTGTACTTACAGAACTATCCTGTTGTACTCACAGAACTATCCTGTTGTACTTACAAAACTATCCTGTTGTACTTACAGAACTATATGGTTGTTATACACATATATATATATATATATATATATATATATATACATGTTATTGTCTAGGAGCTTAAACGTAAATGAATTACTAAATAGGAAAAATCTACACAATATCATAACCGAGCCTACCAGAATTACGAACCATACCAGTAGTTTATTGGATCCTATTATTATCAGTGAAGATATAAAAGTCATCGACAGTGGTGTAATTGATTTTGATAGTAAAATTAGCGACAATAGGGAAACTTACATTGAAATAGACACTGGTTTGCGAACAAAATTAGCATATAAAAGAGAAATTTCATGTTTTAAAAACGGTGACTATGATAAACTCAATTCGCTCATAGAAAATACTTGCTGGAATGAATTATTTAATCAAAATTCAAATATTGATGAAGCATGTAATCTGTTCTATAAATACTTGAATAAATATGTTAAAATATGCATTCCAACCAAAGTAGTAACCATTCGTCCAAAGGACAAACCTTGGTATGATTTCAGTTTAAGACGAGAATCCAGGAAAAGAGATAGATTAAAAAAGAAGGCTAGAAAAAGTAAAAAGTAAAAAGACATTCGGGCCTATAAAAATCAGAGGAACAAAGTAAATAACATGAAATGTCACGCTAAAGAACATTTTTACTCAAACCTCGATGAATTGCTATCAGAATTGCATGCAGAAAACAAACCCTCTTACAGGAAAGTTTTACGTTATGTTGTGAAGAACTCTGGCTCAGCTAACAACATAGCCGCTCTTAAACAGTATGACACGGACGAGCACCCGACAATTTTTACTGATATTGGAAAGGCAGAGAAACTGAATAAATATTTTCAATCTTTTTCTGATGTCTATGATACAAGAACAACTATGCCCGACTTCACATTTCGTACAGCGACAGAGATGAACAACATAGTCATATCTAAAAAGGAAATTGAAGACATAATACAATGTTTGCCTCTTAATAAAGCCTCCGGACCGGATAAAATTTGTCATTAATTATTAAAGGAAACTGTATATTCTATAAGCGAAGCATTGTGTTTACTGTTCAATTTGTCACTACAATCAAGTATATTTCCATCAGTGTGGAAACAAGCAAACGTTATGCCATTACTTAAGAAAGGTGATCACACTATCGTTTCTAATTATAGACCGATATCACTCATTAGTTGTTTAGGAAAATTGTTTGAGAGAGTTGTGTTCAAACATTTATATAATTACTTTCATGAGAACAAATTGTTGTATAAGTACCAATCTGGATTTCAGGCTGGTCACTCAACTGTCCATCAACTAATAGAACTTTACCACCAAATTTGTACAGCATTAGATAACAAAGAAAACTATTTTATTGTATTCTGTGATGTATCAAAAGCCTTTGATCGTGTATGGCACAGTGGGCTTGTGTATAAATTAGAGAGGTATGGTATAAAAGGCCAATTGTTAAAATGGATTACCAGTTACATAAGTAACTGTAGCCAAAGCGTATTTGTGAACGGGGAAATATCCAAACCAAGATACATGAAGGCTGGCGTGCCACAGGGGGCCGTGCTTGGTCCTTTACTCTTTATTGTTTATGTAAATGACATTGCTGATAAATTAGACTGTATGACAAGACTGTTTGCCGACGATACATCGATTGGCATGTCATCCAATGATAACAGTGTACTGGAACGTTCCTTAAGTACAAATTTAGCAATCTTAAGTGAATGGGCGAAACTTTGGCTCATAACTTACAATCCCGATAAGACCAAATCGGTTCTATTCTCTCGCAAAGACAACAACGGAGGTCTAAAACTATATTTCAACGGAAAAGAAATCAGCTCTGTAAACAGTCATAAGCACTTGGGTGTTATACTTGAAGCCAGTGGCAAATGGTCTTGTCATATAGATACCATAATTAAAACAACTTCCAAGATGATTTACTCATTGAGAAAACTCAAACATCTACTTCACAGAAATACTATTAACAATATATATAAAATGTTCATAAGACCACACTTTGAATACGCATGTGAGGTTTGGGATGGTTGCACCGAAGGACAAAGTGAGAAATTAGAACAATTACAATTAGAAGATGCACGCATTGTAACTGGTCTACCTAAATATGCCCCCAGGCATTCATTATATTACGAAACCGGTTGGGAACCCTTAGTTGAGCGTAGAAAGAAACGTAAACTTTGTCTTTTCTTCAAAATTAATCATAACATGGCCCCTTCCTATCTAACAGATATTCTACCCAAAACCGTTGCTGCAAAAAACTCATACAGTCTCAGAAACTCTGAAAACATCAGTGTTCCTCTCACAAGACTAAGACATTTGTGTGAATCCTTTTACCCATCGTCTATCCGATTGTGGAACTCTATTCCGTTATCAGATCGAAATTCTACGATTTCTTGTTTTAAAAATTCGCTACAAAAGCACAACCCCACGTCACCTGCTTACTTCGCTTATGGAAAAAGAAAATATAATATCTTACACACAAAACTGAGATACATGTGCAGTCAGTTGAATTATGATTTATATAGAATTGGTATAAAAGATCACCCGAACTGTACATATTCGAATACATGTGAAAATGCATATCATTATCTCATGGAATGTCCATGGTTTAGTCATCAGCGTGAAATTATGTTAAACAGCCTTTAAAATATTGTTCATAACATACCTATTGATGTACACTTACTGTTACACGGCAATGCAGATCACGTTGTTACAGAAAATGAAGCTATATTTAAGGCAGTACAACATTATATATGTACAACTAAAAGATTCGTGTAAAGAACTGTTCATTCAACAATGTCTCTCTCTCTCTCTCTCTCTCTCTCTCTCTCTCTCATCTATAGTGTTTTATGTTTTATGCATATATATTGAATTTGAAATTGTGAATATTTTGTAAATACCAGGGGGAGAGCATTCTAAGTTGGAAGAACTTGTCCCCCAATCCCGTTCACTCCTTGTGAATAAATATGTTTAAATCATGGTTGTATTCACAGAGCTATCCTGTTGTACTCACAGAACTATCATGTTGTACTTACAGAAATATCTGGTTGTACTTACAGAACTATCCTGTTGTACTTACAGAGCTATCCTGTTTCACTTACAGAGCTATCCTGTTGTACTCACAGAGCTATCCTGTTGTACTCACAGAACTATCCTGTTGTACTTACAGAACTATCTGGTTGTACTTACAGAACTATCTGGCTGTACTTACAGAACTATCTGGCTGTACTTACAGAACTATCTGGCGAACTATCCTGTTGTACTCACAGAACTATCCTGTTGTACTTACAGAACTATCTGGTTGTACTTACAGAACTATCTGGCTGTACTTACAGAACTATCTGGCTGTACTTACAGAACTATCTGGCGAACTATCCTGTTGTACTCACAGAACTACCCTGTTGTACTTACAGAACTATCTGGTTGTACTTACAGAACTATCTGGCTGTACTTACAGAACTATCTGGCGAACTATCCTGTTGTACTCAAAGAACTATCCTGTTGTACTTACAGAACTATCTGGTTGTACTTACAGAACTATCTGGCTGTACTTACAGAACTATCTGGCGAACTATCATGTTGTACTTACAGAACTATCCTGTTGTACTTACAGAACTATCATGTTGTACTTACAAAACTATCTGGTTGTACTTACAGAACTATCCTGTTGTACTTACAGAACTATCCTGTTGTACTTACAGAACTATCCTGTTGTACTTACAGAACTATCTGGTTGTACTTACAGAACTATCTTCAGCAGTATTATCACCAGGACCAGTTCCGCCACCACGACGCAGAGCAGGACCCTGCGCACAACTGAACAGAACAATGTCATGTCAATAATACATGTTACAAATATAATACTCAACTTTTGAAGGAAATGATACGGCACGCCACGTAACATACAACTAGCATATTATGCAAATCAGTTTTGTGTTTTTGGTAAAATATAAATATCCCTATCAAAACTGGAACAGTGTGCATTAAAATGGTTTGACATTTCTTTGGTGTGTACACGTAGTTTTACTTGCAGAAGTCACAGACATGCATTTCTGTTCAATGGATTTCCAGTTAAATGTTTCGATTTGTACTCATTACTTATGTGTGTGTGGGCGTGTGTCCGAGAAGGTAAGAGTGTGACCAGTTGAACGTGTTTACATGTCAGTGAGTTAAGATTTAACGTCACATCGGCATGTTAACATGTCAGTGTCTTGGTTGACGATTCTTCAAGACAATAGTGGAAGCATGGTTAAGGCCGTTATGAAAAAAACACGAAGCGAAGGAATTCTAAAGTTTAAACGACTTCGCTGATTCCGTTATGTCGAGAGTTAAAGGAAGCATCGATCGATACCCAAAGGCTGGAAGACCGACATGTGACCTAAATACGTCAGAATGGAATTTCTTTCCTGTACATGACGTTAATACTAAAACTACCATTTATGACTTCAGTGTTGAATGAAACCCGCTGGTGCTAAATGGTACGATAATATAAGCTTCGGTTTGAGATTAAGCAGCGCTTGGAATGATATGTCGATGGCTACCTTTAATAACATGTGAACGTTTTTAATATATGAACACTAAAGAGAGGCGGTAAGCTCTGCGGTACCTCTGACGGATGTGTCTGGCGATGCACGTCCCTGGGTATCTAACCCTCCTGCTGAAAGGCAAAAAGAATGTTTCTATTCACATCTAAAATCACTAGATCAGAGCTCGAGATCATGCTCGCAATGCAACGTGGACAGTGTTATTCTCCCAAATTCGGTCTCAAGGATATAATAATGAGTAGTTGTAGTTGTTTCACTAAACCTGGTTGATATGTGGGGGTTGTTGGGTAGCCTTGTGGTTAAAGTGATCGTTAGTTATGACGCAGGTCCCGGTTCGATACCGCACATGGGCACACAGGTCAAGCCCATTTGAGGCATGGCTCCCCCGCGCATTGGAATATTGCAAAATCGGCATACAAACATTACTTCCTCATTCACTGGTCCACCGTGCGGATTCCGGGTTAAATTACAGGTCCCCGCAACCTTTGCTTGTCGTACAAGGCGACTAAACGATCCGGCAGTGGAACAGGCCACAAGGTTCATGCGTCTCAGCGTATCGAAATTGCTTGCATCGAAGCACATGATACCAATCACTGAATTGTTTGATTCAGACTGTGATCCAGACAGATTACAGATTTAGAAGCAACGGAAGGTTTGCATTGCTATTCAGATCACCACCACTCCTACCGAACAGAGTTCATCCCACAACAGGTTTATTACATTTACATGTATTAAATTTATTTCATCAACTCGGTGCACAAATGTGACAAGTTAAACGTTGACAATACATTATCTCTCCTAAAACGTATTCACCTAAGCTACACCGAGTAATTGTTGGCACTCCCTCCAAAAGGTAATCTGTCTTACAGACCCTGATACAAATATACATCAAATACAGCCCATGCAAGTCTAGTATGTTTGGAAAGTCTAGATCAGAGTCACTGGGCTCCTTTTTATTATATTTTTATTAAGATTACTGAACAACTGTTTTTTTCTGTACGATATGTTCATTTCAGAGACTAGATGTTAGTCTATCCAAAAGGTTAATGCGTCCTTGATATAAAGTCTCCCACTGAGTGACAGAAAGGGATCATGCAAGGTGCCGTGTTATGTCATGGCCCCTCTGGGCATGGTGATGCATACATTTGTATAAGAAGCTATATTATATTTAGCCCGTGGTTCATTGTATAAAGAAGCTATATTATATTTAGCCCGTGGTTCATTTGAAAGCTCTTTCATTATTTGTTGTCGAATGTATTTCAAACGTAAGAAAAAGTCACGATCCCTAACAGACATTATGTTGTTCTCCCCAACAGCAAACACTACAGACGTGACGTGAACTCTACTCTCTAGGAGAAGTATAATAGCGGAGTTGCGTAACGAAATATCAGTATTTACTGATTGTGTATGTAATTTCATGTCGACCTCTTATCTTGTGTAACTGGTATCGGATGTCGTGAACATCACTGATGTTAGAGATGATATAAAAATCCCACAGGAAAGGAGTTTGGGGCATTCAAGGTTTGGAGGGTGGAGACGGGGGTTGAGGAAAAAAATGCTTGTCTCCCCTCCCAGAGAGGGCTGCCGAAAAAATACTTCAAACAAAATTCCCACGCTCCCTGCCAGAATACTAAATGTTCGTTCCTAACAGCAAGTCTATATATATATAAATATATCATTTATATATTCTGTGTTGTGCATATATGTTCATGTCACCGTGATAAAACTTACCTTTACAAACATACATCTACCCTGAAACACTTGATTGTTGTCAATGTTACTATTTTGATGGTATATTTCACCAAACCACTTAGAGGCTTGACGGGCCACTTCAAACGTCACTAGAGTCAATGATGAAAGTACACAAGCCGGACAAAACAAGCGACAAGGTAACAAAAAGGAACTCACGCGTGTCCATCCCTGTGTGGCATGTATAGGCTTGGCAGGGAGGATGAAGTTGTCTCAACATTCAAACCCTGCCACAGGCAGTATCCGAAAGCGAGGGCGTTTAGACAGGGCGATATATGTGTATATCATGACGTCACTGCTGAATTTGACATCCTCGCGTGTGATTTGGGTTCATATGACCTATTTGAAGACAGTGTGTTCATGTGCATACTTGGAGTTTTCACAACTGTATTCCGCACACGTTGGTTTAGAGAATTATCAGAGCGTACTTGAAACCCCGTGGCGCGCTGTACACTCAAACCGTTGTTTGATAGTTTCATGTCACGGTGACCGTAGGCGGCTCGTTCGTTTTTAGCGTATTATCAAAACATTGTATACGCTTACTTACTTGTCTAACGTGTACAATTTAATAGATCATTTACAAAAAAACATTCGTCACGCCGCCAGGCATTATAAAATCTGAGTATATTTGAATTCAAGTAAATGTATGTATCTTTGTAAAGCTCAAGTGCCGCGCCCAGTTTAATCGAGAACAGTTTGTCGTTTAGTATTTCGGGATGGATTCAAGCTAACGATGGTTATCATGCTGACACGAACATTGTTAATTCTTTTGTTTACGCTGCAGTCAACATTATTCCAGCTTTATAACAGCGTCGTAGTAATACTCGTGTCAAACCAGTTGTTGGTATCAAAAAGAAGATCCTAGGCAATCCTCCAAGTCACTGTACCTGGCCACCACTCCATATTATCGCCTCTTTAACAAGCATATGTCGGCTCTCGTGGATATATTATGACTCGTAAGACCCACTTTGCTGTAGTTTATGTGACGGGACCATCTGAACACATCTCTTACTACACCTCGTGACAAGCTCGCCCCATCAAACCTGAAGAAGACCTGACTTAAGCCTGTAACTCCGTGGCGCTGAGATGAAATACTTGAAGCCAAAATACGTAAGCGTCTTGCGGAACGTAAAAGGAGAACGTCCAAGTTAGAAATCGATGTACGACAGTGTCAGCAAGTCTGTGAACCATCTTGTTGGGAAATGCAGGACTGACTACATCCAAAATGTCATCATGACTAAGGCCAAAAACATTAAGCATTGTGTTCTTCTCGATCGGAAATAAGTTTTGTCGTCATATTACCTTAGAGACTTATGGAGCAATTGGTGGCGACCAACCTCATGTATAAATACCAGTCAGCCTACAGAACTGCTCATGGAACAGAGACATTATTGAACAGTGTTCTAAATGATATCATCATTGGTGTATGCTGACAATGGCAATGTGTCTCTGTTGCTGGAGTGTTGCTTACAAAAAGCTCTCTGAGACGTTTACAGTGTGCCTTTATTCCCTTCGTGTGTAGTGAGTTTATTCCTTTCACGTGTAGTGAGTTTATTCCTCTCCTGTTTCGTGAGTTTCTCCGTCTCTTGTCTTGTGAGTTGATTCGTCTCCTATCTTGTGAGTTGATTCCTTTCGTGTGTAGTGAGTTTATTCCTCTCCTGTTTCGTGAGTTTATTCGTCTCTTGTCTTGTGAGTTGATTCGCCTCCTATCTTGTGAGTTGATTCCTTTCACGTGTAGTGAGTTTATTCCTCTCCTGTTTCGTGAGTTTATTCGTCTCTTGTCTTGTGAGTTGATTCGTCTCCTATCTTGTGAGTTGATTCCTTTCACGTGTAGTGAGTTTATTCCTCTCCTGTTTCGTGAGTTTATTCGTCTCTTGTCTTGTGAGTTGATTCGCCTCCTATCTTGTGAGTTGATTCCTTTCACGTGTAGTGAGTTTATTCCTCTCCTGTTTCGTGAGTTTATTCGTCTCTTGTCTTGTGAGTTGATTCGTCTCCTATCTTGTGAGTTGATTCCTTTCATGTGTAGTGAGTTTATTCCTCTCCTGTTTCGTGAGTTTATTCGTCTCTTGTCTTGTGAGTTGATTCGTCTCCTATCTTGTGAGTTGATTCCTTTCGTGTGTAGTGAGTTTATTCCTCTCGTCTTGTGAGTTGATCCCCTTCGTGTGTAGTGAGTATATTCCTCTCCCGTCTTGAGAGTTTATTCCTCTCCTGTCTCGTGAGTATGTTCGTCTCCTATCTTGTGAGTTGATTCTTTTCGTGTGCAGTAACTTGTTTCCTCTCCTGTCTTGGCGTAGGCGAGAGCTCCCTTACTACAAACAGTTATAGTGCGGGAATGGGGCAACTGGACTACTCGCCTGTTTGTTGTGCGGGAATGGGGCAACTGGACTACTCGCCTGTTTGTTGTGCGGGAATGGGGCAACTGGAGCACTCGCCTGTTTGTTGTGCGGGAATGGGGCAACTGGACCACTCGCCTGTTTGTTGTGCGGGAATGGGGCAATTGGACCAATCGCCTGTTTGTTGTGCGGGAATGGGGCAAATGGAACACTCGCCTGTTTGTTGTCCGGGAATGGGGCAACTGGAGCACTCGCCTGTTTGTTGTGCGGGAATGGGGCAACTGGAGCACTCGCCTGTTTGTTGTGCGGGAATGGGGCAAATGGACCACTCGCCTGTTTGTTGTGCGGGAATGGGGCAACTGGAGCACTCGCCTGTTTGTTGTGCGGGAATGGGGCAACTGGACCACTCGCCTGTTTGTTGTGCGGGAATGGGGCAGCTGGAGCACTCGCCTGTTTGTTGTGCGGGAATGGGGCAACTGGACCACTCGCCTGTTTGTTGTGCGGAAATGGGGCAACTGAAGCACTCGCCTGTTTGTTGTGCGGGAATGGGGCAACTGGACCACTCGCCTGTTTGTTGTGCGGGAATGGGGCAACTGGACTACTCGCCTGTTTGATGTGCGGGAATGGGGCAACTGGAGCACTCGCCTGTTTGTTGTGCGGGAATGGGGCAACTGGACCACTCGCCTGTTTGTTGTGCGGGAATGGGGCAACTGGACTACTCGCCTGTTTGTTGTGCGGGAATGGGGCAACTGGAGCACTCGCCTGTTTGTTGTGCGGGAATGGGGCAACTGGACCACTCGCCTGTTTGTTGTGCGGGAATGGGGCAACTGGACCACTCGCCTATTTGTTGTGCGGGAATGGGGCAACAGCGCCACTCGCCTGTTTGTTGTGGGGGAATGGGGCAACTGGACCACTCGCCTGTTTGTTGTGCGGGAATGAGGCAACTGGACCACTCGCCTGTTTGTTGTGCGGGAATGGGGCAACTGGACCACTTGCCTGTTTGTTGTGCGGAAATGGGGCAACTGAAGCACTCGCCTGTTTGTTGTGCGGGAATGGGGCAACTGGACCACTCGCCTGTTTGTTGTGCAGGAATGGGGCAACTGAACTACTCGCCTGTTTGATGTGCGGGAATGGGGCAACTGGACCACTCGCCTGTTTGTTGTGGGGGAATGGGGCAACTGGACCACTCGCCTGTTTGTTGTGCGGGAATGGGGCAACTGGACCACTCGCCTGTTTGTTGTGCGGGAATGGGGCAACTGGGCCACTCGCCTGTTTGTTGTGCGGGAATGAGGCAACTGGACCACTCGCCTGTTTGTTGTGCGGGAATGGGGCAACTGGACCACTCGCCCTGTTTGTTGTCCGGGAATGGGGCAACTGGACCACTCGCCTGTTTGTTGTCCGGGAATGGCTTTTCGGGTCTGTTGTGATAAAATGAGGCGTCACAGGTGACTGTCTGCATTGACGGTATTATCTGTCTGGTAATTTTGAAACTGAAAGTTCAAGAAAGGACAAAAGATATTAAAAAGCACACGTGTTTACATGCGTGTAACGCCGAACCCAACGGACAGGTGCTCAGAACGTATGCCATTACTCATTTACCACAGCGATCAGTGTGTATAGTTTCTGTATTGTTTATTACAGGAACGGTCTAGTATAACCACAAAAATACTTCATGACAAAACACCCTTTACGGTAATGGTACATATGTGATTAATGCTGTTCAATAAGAACACAACCAAATCTGTCAGAATAGCTGGGCAGAACCCCCTTGATAAGCCACAAAAATGAGTACTGGGGTGATATAATGTGGAACTGTCACCACACTGTGTTTTGGCCTATAATTTGGATAGTCACCTGTACCAATCCCTTATGTCCCTGCGACAAGGGAACGTCCTTATCTCAGAGCTATTTATATCTATATCATGACTGTTAGTGACACACTTTGTAGGACTATGCTGCATTCCGATTAATTCCCTGCTCCCTCTCACACATGGATGCACTAAGCTGGACCGCTGTAGGCGAGTATTGCTGATTACACACGCTTTATTTGCTCCAACAGAACTACGATAGAAATACAAACGTTTTAGTTCGACGCAGCTCGAGTTGTCTCCATTATTCGTGCCAGGATCCGCTTATAGTAGGTTCGAGTCCAAATTGAGTCCGATTACGGTCCTTGGGTTTCATTCCCTGGTACCCTGATAGTGTATCGGGAGTCCTTAACGATATGTTTTTCGTCCGTCTCTCACCTGTACAGAGCGAAGAAGTGAATACGGTCCCATTTTAGACAGGTGTCGTGAATGAGAGCAGCGCCGCAACTACACATTAAACTATGACGTCATTGCATTATTCTGTGCCGTCATTGCATTGTATGACATCATTGGGATGTCGTTGCACGTAACAAATGGAGAAAATACGTAAATGTGCACGTTTTGACATTTGCTAAAAATGTGCACACTAACATAGAGCATTTATGATGTTTTCGTATAAATTAACATTTTAACCACATGTTGTTTAACTACGCGTATTTAAAAAAAAGTTAAATGCAATTTATCTATGCATACTTTACTATACCATACAATTGTTAGTAATTTTCCTTTATTGGCCCTAAAGTAAAGTGTGAATTTGGGGCTTGAGTAACAAATATAATAAAATGCACACAAGCTCCCTTCGTTCCTATTTCCTATTCCCAAGTTTCATTGAAATATGATAACAAATATTTTGGAAAAAAAACTATCTTCCAACTGAATTACTCTAATTTTTTATCTCTACGACCGATAACTTGTTTTTTTCCTCCCACAATAACCTTATACGCTGTGATATAACTGAACTACTTTTCAAGGTGTCCAGAAGCCCGACCTAGAGATGGTTGAGCTTCGGGACACTTTGAAAAGTACTTCAGTTATATTCGAGCTGTAGTGATCAGCTCGAATGGAGAGTAGATCGTAATTGCACCTACTTGCACGAGCCGACGACATAGAGGTTAGCTTCCCGTACATGTAAGAATAGGGTGTTCATGCTGTCACCCACTGGTTTGTTTGGCCTCCATTATGCAGCTGGAATATTGCTGACTTCTAAAGTCAAGGGAATCTCTCGCACCACAAGGCAAAGGACAAGGTAGACCTGCTCACGGCACGAAGTCCCTGTGAAGTATTTCCTTTTTCTCATATAACTGAAATGTATATGTGTTGGACTTGTTGATAACCCCGGTGCTATTTCTTCCAGTTGTGTTTGCCTGTCTTCTTGCAAGTGGCACAGCTGACGACGGTAAATAAATTATAAAGCAAGGTTTTACTATTGAGGACCTAGCAATGACTTTTTGTGGCGATGCTCTTCTGTAACGGATGCATATATGGTAAGACATTTCTGCACGGGATTGTAGCGACGGTGAACCGCTTCTGGAACAGGCGGTTTCGAGGACTCTATATGACGGTACCCTTCTGTAAGGGACGGAATCAATGACTATATGATGAGACAGTTCTGTTAGGGTCTGTAGTGATGGTCAACGGATGGTTGTGATGATTCAAAATGGTCAGACCCTTCTGTAACATTCTGTATGATGGATGTCTGTGGTGACACTCTTCTGTAACAGACTGTATAATAATGTCTGTGGTGACACTCTTCTGTAACAGACTGTATAATAATGTCTGTGGTGACACTCTTCTGTAACAGGCTGTATGATGGATGTATGTGGTGGCACTCTTCTGTAACAGACTGTATAATGAATGTCTGTGGTGACACTCTTCTGTAACAGACTGTATAATGAATGTCTTGTGGTGACACTCTTCTGTAACAGACTGTATAACGAATGTCTGTGGTGACACTCTTCTGTAACAGACTGTATGATGGATGTATGTGGTGACGCTCTTCTGTAACAGACTGTATAATGACTGTATGTGGTGACACTCTTCTGTAACAGACTGTATAATGAATGTATGTGGTGACGCTCTTCTGTAACAGACTGTATAATTAATGTATGTGGTGACGCTCTTCTGTAACAGACTGTATAATGAATGTATGTGGTGACGCTCTTCTGTAACAGACTGTATAATGAACGTATGTGGTGACGCTCTGCTGTAACAGACTGTATAATGAACGTATGTGGTGACGCTCTTCTGTAACAGACTGTATAATTAATGTCTGTGGTGACACTCTTCTGTAACAGACTGTATAATGAATGTCTGTGGTGACACTCTTCTGTAACAGACTGTATAATGAATGTCTTTGGTGACACTCTTCTGTAACAGACTGTATGATGTATGTCTGTGGTCACGCTCTTCTGTAACAGACTGTATAATGAATGTCTGTGGTGACACTCTTCTGTAACAGACTGTATAATGAATGTATGTGGTGACACTCTTCTGTAACAGACTGTATAATGAATGTATGTGGTGACACTCTTCTGTAACAAACTGTATAATGAATGTATGTGGTGACGCTCTTCTGTAACAGACTGTATAATGAATGTATGTGGTGACACTCTCTGTAACAGGCTGTATAATGAATGTCTGTGGTGACAATCTCTTCTGTAACAGACTGTATGATGAATGTATGTGGTGACACTCTTCTGTAACAGGCTGTATAATGAATGTATGTGGTGACACTCTTCTTTAACAGACTGCATGATGGATGTATGTGATTACACTCTTCTGTAACAGACTGTATAATGAATGTATGTGATTACACTCTTCTGTAACAGACTGCATGATGAATGTATGTGATTACACTCTTCTGTAACAGACTGTATGATAAATGTCTGTGGTGGCACTCTTCTGTAACAGACTGCATGATGAATGTCTGTGGTGACACTCTTCTGTAACAGACTGCATGATGGATGTATGTGATTACACTCTTCTGTAACAGACTGTATAATGAATGTATGTGATTACACTCTTCTGTAACAGACTGTATAATGAATGTATGTGGTGACACTCTTATGTAACAGACTGTATAATGAATGTATGTCGTTACACTCTTCTGTAACAGACTGCATGACGAATGTATGTGGTGACACTCTTCTGTAACAGGCTGTATAATGAATGTCTGTGGTGACAATCTCTTCTGTAACAGACTGTATAATGAATGTATGTGGTGACACTCTTCTGTAACAGACTGTATAATGAATGTATGTGGTGACACTCTTCTGTAACAGACGATATAATGATTGTATGTGGTGACAATCTCTTCTGTAAAATACTGTACATTGAAACAGTCTTCTCTTGTGTCCCATATCTCTCCTCAACCAGACCTCTGCAGTACGTGTGATGCCACTGTGTCCAGCCTAGAACACTGCTTCAACCGGACATGTGACCACGGAGAGGTAACGCAGTTTTACTGATTCCAAGCTACGAAATGGTTATGAGAAGGAACAAAGCGTGAGTTAAAATGCCGCTATGTTATTTCGATTATATCCCGGCGTGTCAGCATAATGTGTGAAGAACGGGACGTTCGTCTATTTGATGAAAGCCTACAGCACGCGTACGCTACGGACAGAACCCACTGGTTGATAGTCCAAGAACCCTGGGGTGGTTTTTGTACCGGGAGAGGCCAAAAGGTTTAAACGTGTTTTCTGATGTAAAGTAGGATCACGAATCCACAAAATGCAGTCTTACAAAGCAAAGCTGTGGCTTTAGCCCACTAGAGGGCACTCTTTCAAATATTATTTACCACTTACAAATACTTATTATTACACCAAAGCGTTTATTTCAATATGAAGAAGAATGATATATCGGTAATATCAAAACATAACATGTTGAACAGAGTTGTACGTCGAGTAACTGCAAATAATTCTTCTTCTTAGATTTACGTAATTTAGTCATCTACAACCTTAAATTCATTGTAATGAAAACATATTGTAATACAACACTGTACTTAATATTTATACATATGTAAAAATGTGTAATGAATACAAATATACTAATATAGTGTATATGCTACTTATGGTAAATAGTTTATAAAAGAAACAATAAGTATGGGTCATTCTATAAAACTTGTTATAGTTAGAACGTTTATAATGTGTAGTTTTCTTTAAGATCAGGCCAGTAAAAACACAAAAAGTTTCTCCATTTATCATTTAGCAACATTGTCATATCTGTCCATATTACAACTTTTCTGTAAAGAAACTAGTTTATATGGTATTATTGTCAAGCCTGTTTATAATCTTTTGTTATTACACTGTGACAGTCAATTATTAAGGTAATTATGATGACTCACATTCACTCTTATGATGAACACAAGCACTGGTCACTCTCATCATCAGTCTATGAGTCACGCTCCACTTCATCATCTTCACCTTCATCTGATTCTTCGGGGCCTGGAAATGTGCTGCTATCTGAAGTTGAAAACTTCCATGTTCCAACTTCAATCCATTTCCTTTTGGTGTGAACCTCACTGGGTCACAGAGATTAACATTCTTCCACATATTTGAAACATAATTTGTTCTCTTGATCTTTTGAACTAATGACTTTCGACATGGAGGAAAGACAGCAGCATCTGTTCCTTTTGATCTTGTCCAAAGGACCACGGCCTTGTGCTCTCCTTTCCCTTTCGAACGCATGCTGAGGTATAGTCACATCCAGTCACATTCAGTCATTGTACTTTTGACTGAAAGTCCACCCTTTTCCAGTATTTTGTCTTGTACAAGGATGAGTGTTGTCAATGTTTTTGAGATGATACCTTGTCATCTTGCAAAATTGTGATGGTTAACTGCAAAGAACAGTGGACACATTTTTCCCAAGCAGTAAGTGAACAATGCAAGATCACTGGCTCTACATGCTCTACTAAACATTAGGTACAGATTGGCAAGATCGATGTACATCATCCAGTACTGGGCTGTTTTGCCGTGAGTTCCAGATTGTGTCTCATCAAGGAAGTGGTCATTGTCTCTGAGAAATGCTATCACCTCCTCTGATTGTAAAGAAAGTGTTTTCTTTTTCCTACTTTGCCATAAAAGACACACGATTCTCAAAAAAAACCCAATAAGGTTGGTAATGTTTGAGGACATGAAATGAAATGAGCTATGAAATGAGTACATGTGATTTCCATATATTTCCTCAAAAGATGTTTCCCTTATCAGGCTGCATATCTTGGAATACTTAAATGATGTTAAACTAATCTGTCTGAGATTGGCACTGTCTTAACATATTGTCATTTATCTTGACTAAATGCAAAAATATCATCATTTGATTGTCACTGCCAATAGGCAAAAGCAAATTGTGTCACTTCTTGAATGTAATGTGTCTGAATCGGTCATATTTGACAGTGAGTTCTGGGAATCACAACTGACTGATATACAATAGTTTTAAGCTGACCATTGACAATAAATGCCCCTTTGTTGTTTTGAAGTACCCTTTCACGACCTTTGCCCAGATTTAGAAAATGAATCATTTTTTAATTTTGTGTTGATGAATAAACATGTTGAAGAGGGTGGTTTAGAATAAACCAAGTAAAACATGTACATGATATATTTTGTCAAATAATAAATTGTATTGTATAGTTATCCAAAAGAAACAGCAGCGTCATAAAAGCTGGTGTACATTGCCTAAAACAGAACGTAAGCAGAAACTGTGTTTGTGTGTTTTTCTACTGGCCTAATGACGTGTTTTCCTTTTTAAAGAAATGTTGGTGATTAAATTAAACATTAACAAATGAACTAAACTATCGTGTATGTAGCCTGAAAAACAACTTATTGCCACCCTCTGAGAATAACAGTTATCTCCCTTAAACATATTTAATAAAATGACCAACACTTATTGTTTTTTTTATAAAACATTAACCATGTGTGGCATATGCACTTTATTGGTATATTTGAAGTCATTATTCATGTTACAAATGTATAAATATTTAATACCATGTTATTGTCTTGCCCCTACGAGGCAATATTTTACGGACGCTTCTCCTTCTATCTAAGTCAATTAGAGTTATCTTTTCTTACCTTTTTTTTCATACTTCCGGAAAAGGCACGTGTTTGAAATCAGTGGTTTCTACGCCTACTCAAAGGTCTTATCACCATAACTCAAGTGCTGACATGTACAGGTTTTTTACCCTTTTTGTACTAGGGGTTTATGACGATTAAAAAAACAAATACAAGCATCTTTTCGAAGTCGTTATAGTTATATTACAATATGTTTTTATTACAATGAACTTTAGGTTGTAGAAAGACTATTATACGTAAATCAAATATGAATAATTGTTTGCAGTTACTCTATATACAACTCCATTCACCATTTTATGTTTTTATATTACATATATATCATTCTTCTTAAGATTGAAACTGATTATGGTGTAATAATAAGTATTTGTAGTTGGTGAATAACATTTGAAAGAGTGCAGTAGTTTACCTGAAAAACATGCTGAGTCATCACTCTAGCGCCAACTAGTAGATTTGTAAGACTGAATTTTGTCGATTTGTGAGCCAATTTTACATCAGACTACATGCATAAATCTTTTGGCCTCTCTCGGTAAAAAAATCACCTCCTTGCTCCTGGACTATGATAGCCATCTGTGCCCTCGGTTGAAGATGTATGAGAGTTATATACTTTCAATCATCCTCTGTTTTCAGATTTAATGCTATTCTCTAGTCTGATACTGGTTCATATTAGTCTTGTAAGAAGCGACTAACGGGTTAGTGTGGTAAGCCTCAGGGCCGATCCCGTTAGTTGCCTCTAACGACAAGCATAGTCGCCTTTTACGGCGACCACAAGGCTACCCCTCCGCTCTTGAAAACCTATTCTACCCCGGACCTTATCGTTTTTTTAATTGATATATGTCATCGTATCTTATTTGCGTAGATCGATGCTCATGATGTCAGTCACTGTATTGTCTGATTCGGACTCGATTATTTACTGACTGCTGGCATAGTAATATTGCTGAGTGTGGTTTAAACAACAAACTCGCGAAAGAACAAAAGAAATAACAGTTAGCATCCGAATTATTTGTCATGATCTTTTTCATTTTTCCTCCAGGAGTGTTCCCTGGTGGTTCTACCCGATAGTCGTTCCATCGGTGAATACGTGTATAAAAGTGGCTGTGCGACAAAACATGTAAGCACAATTTATTGTCATTTTACACATACGTTATTGTATTAACTCGTGAACTTTCACTCGGTCAGATACCATTGAAAGTCCACTCGTTTCGTAAAAGTGGTATCTAACGAGAATATATATTTATCATATAATGGGTAGGTTTCTCTGCAGGATAAAGCCAACGGATAAAAACTATATCCGTTGGGGTCATATGCGGATAGAGATGCAAATATCAAAGTTCAAGTAGGGACTACTTTCACTGTTTACACACAAACATGGCGTCGCCCTTGGGAGTCTGGAGAAGCTACTGGGATAAGTGATATCATTATCAAAAGAACAGTCTAAAATACTGAAAACCAGTGTCTAACTGTGATGTAGCTAGGGCATTTTACAAGTTTGGGCAACTTTGGAGACATGAATTGCGAAACAATTTTGCGAGGGCACCAGTCCCAACCAAGCGGGATCAGTAGCCATATCTGTGCTTGTAGACCTCTGCTTCTTGGAACCTTTTCCACAAATTATAATAGCTGGATTTGCCCGAAATATGTTTGAATTGTTACTTTGTTTCGTTTTGTCGCTGTGTGTACATCTGAGTGCACTTCGTAACGTTATGACAGCACAGACCGACTGTCAACAACTTCTGAACGTGGCCGTGACGTCTCATAGACTAGGGTGAGAGTAGCTTCCCTTTGACAAAGGGCAGTTACTCTAGCGGACAGACCGATGGATTGCCGCGAGAGGCAAGTAAAAATAATTGTTGTTTTGCGTATATGTTGCTTCGCCACTGTATAAGAAACAGCTTTTCAGTTGGAACTATATTTGCCACTGTCCGACTGACTCATCACTTACCCTGTGACGTAACAAATATTAATGTGCGCATTCAAGGAAACTTGCAACGTTTCGGTAATATTTGTGAGAGAGGGAAAGCGATTTTCAAGCACAGAATTAAAGAATGACATTATATGATAAAGAGGTTATCACGCTTGTGTGTTTGGGGATGGTAAATATCCTGGGCCAAGGCTCGCGAAATACAATGGTTATTCCTAATTCCATATATATATAATTCTCTGGCGTTGACGTTTTATATCAACGCCAAAGAATAACCGCTCTAAACTGTCCGACGAAACAGATTCCATCCAGCGTTAGAAGGGGGAAAGAGCAGTGACTATTATATTATGAATGGATCACTGAATATCAGTGATGACACCAGGAATTTGCGAAAAGGGTAAGCCCTACCGGTAGCACCCGACACTCGCACAACTGCATAATGTCATGTTCAAATGTGAACTACTGCGAGTATTTTTCAGCTGATGTTGTGCGTCTCATAATTGTTTGAGTGCTTTTTTTCTGAACATCGCCATCTCAACTAGGCCGTTTAATTAAATACCTTTTTCTAATAATACTGAATACTGTTTCAAAATGGAATCTTTGACAGCAACATTTCAATGGACTTTCCCATACACCACAGACCCCCTAATATGGCCACACCTAACAGGGCCTCGGCTATTCTATAGCCAAAGGCATATTAAATGGTCTTTTAAGGTACTTTTAAAGTAAATTTTAAATCGAGTGTTTTTCAGATTTCGCTTGTGAAAATCCCAATATTATGAATAAGAACACCAGCACGACCACACTGCTCTTTGGGCATGTGTATTCTTTTTGGTTTGCAATGCTTAGAAATTATTGAACGTATTTTTAGAGATGCAAGTTATGTTTTCTGTCAACTTGAGTTCTTACGTTCAGATGTCTTTTACTGTTCAGGGCTGAAAAAAGTTACTCATACTGTAACTTAAACCGCCTCAAACCACAAATCGAAAACACAACAGCTGTACTCGATAAGACATCCAGTAGATTACAGTTGTACTTATTTAACCAATGCTATCGGTCAAGAAGATTAACGTTGACGCTCTCACGCACACTCCTACACACGCACACTTGCACACGCACACACTCGCACTCATACACGCACTGTGTTATATCAGTGCAATCGGTTACTCTACCACTGATAATATGTTTATCCCCCAGGCTCTCATAGATAGGTATATTCAACGTTAAGGTGGAAAATTGTAGGCTATATTTGTAGACTTTTCTAAAGCATTCGATTCAGTCTGTAGAGACAAATTATAGTTTCTATTTAATTCACAAGGCGTCAGTAAAAAAATATTTAATTGTAATGTGGTATTTATAAGGAAGTTAAATCATCTATTGAACAAAACGGTATGTATTCAGATCATTTTATCTGCCATGCTGGTGTACGCCAAGGATGTGTAATAAGCTCTTTTTGTTCTGTTTTGTTTATTGATGAGCTTGCAGGCCAAATCAAAAGAAATTATGATGATGGTATACAATTACATCCTGAACTTATACAAATATTTATGTTTATTTGCAGATGATATAATCATGTTCTCGAGTACTGTAAAAGGTTTACAAACTTTGATACATCAGCAAGAATTGCACTGTGAAACTGTATTTGGAAAAGGAAATACGCTGTCAAAAATTAAACGTGGTACTTTCGGGGACAATTACTTCGAACTGAAACCTCCTATAAATATCTTGGTGTTGTATTTTCAAGTTAATTATCATGAAACCAACATATGCGTAATGCAGCAATCCAAGCTAAAAAAATGTTATTAGGAATTTTACAAACGTTTGAGCATTTTAGCGACTGCTCATAAATCTTATTTTTAACATAAAAATAGCTCCTATTCTTTCCTTTGGTTCGGAAATATGGGGTTTTACAGAGGCTAAAGTAATTGAATCCGAAAATTTTCATGCTTGTAAAAGATTTCTCTGGTGTTAAACATAGTACTTCTAACGTAATGGTTCATAGTGAGTGTTATAGCATGGCCTTGTATATATAGTAATAATTAAATAAGTGGAGTAAGATTGAGCGTAATTTTAATTGGCTGGGGCTTACAACTCGTACTACGTACGAGTCTCATCAGGCCATAACTGAATAACGGACATGAAGTAGTAACATTACTACTTCATGTCCTTTCAAACATGGAGATCTACTGTAGATGCGAATATTATAGATTTTTAAAAATACAAATATGCGCAGACAGTTGTTTAACTGATGTAAATAAAAGAAAATGTAGAATATCATTAACATAATTTAGATGCAGCTCACACTGGTAAAAATATGTTGGAGTTACCAAACGATACCAAAATGTTTAAGAGTATGTAGACAATGTTCCTTAAATGTCGTCGAAGATGAATTTCACGTTTTACTTGAATGTTGTAAATACGAGTAACTATGATAATTTAAGGAAAATATATATTGAACAGAAATACTATGTACATCCAAATTAATACAAGTTTTTCTCTTTAATACCACATGTGCACTGAACGGCTATACGAAATCTATCTATCTCTATATATCATGCCATCTTATTAAGAAATGAATCCTGTAACATCTTAACCGCTTCCTCGTTGTCATGTATTCTCGACTATCGGCCTGTTGCCTTACCGTTATATATGAATAAACTGAACTGAAAAGTGCAATAATATCTAAGTTAAGTATCAATTTTGTTTCATGTGTCTGACTAATGTTGAGTCCAGCGTCACTTCATAAGTTCAGTATCAATATATGTTCATCTTGCTAGCTATCATTAAGTTCAGCATCATCACTGGATCATATTGCTGACTAATAATGAGTTCAGTGTCAATATTAGTTCACGTGGCTGACTAATATTGAGTTTAGAATTAATATTATTTCATGTGTTCAATATCAAGTTTAGTTAATTTTGCTAATTACTGTCAAGTTCAGTATCGATATCAGTGAATTATACTAACTAATATTGAGCTTAGTATCCATATTAGTTCATAAGTTCAGAATAAAATTAGTTGTTTATACTTACTAATATTTAGTTTAGAAACCATATTGGTTCATAAGTTCAGTATGAATATTAGCTGATGATACTAACTAACAATATTACATAAAGATACTAACTAATATTGAGTTTAGTATCCATATAAGATTATAAGTTCAGTATCAATATTACATGAAGATACTAACTAATATTTAGTTTAGTATCCATATTAGTTCCTAAGTTCAGTATCAATATTACATGAACATACTAACTAATATTAAGCTTAGTATCCATAGTAGTTAATAAGTTCAGTATCAATATTACATAAACATACTAACTAATATTTAGTTTAGTATCCATATTAGTTAATGAGTTCAGTATCAATATTACATAAACATACTAATTAATATTGAGTTTAGTATCCATAATAGTTCAATAGTTCAATATCAATATTAGTTAATTATACTTGCTAATATTGAGTTTAGTAACCATATTAGTTCATTTTGCTATATACTGTCGGGTTCAGTATAAGTATAAGTTCATTTTGCGAACTAATTCCAAGTTCAGACTGAGTATCAACATTGGCTCAGTGTCAATATTAGTTCATTTTGTTAAGTTGTTTCGAGTTCTGTATCAATATTAGTTCACGAATTCTATATCAATATTAGTTCATTAATTCTGTATCGACATTAGTTCATGATTGTAATATCAAGTTTAGTTCATGTTGCTAACTAACTTCGAGTTTATGATCAAAGTTAGTTCATTTTGCTAACTAATATCGAGTTCTGTATCAACATTTTTATTTATGTAGTTTACAGGTATTATGTTCAGTATCAATATTGGTATATAAATAAAGAAAAAAGAAATTTCAAACTGCTGTCAAGTTTAGTGTTAATATCAGTTCGTGTTGCCAGCTTATGTCGAGTTCATTATCAATATTAGTTCATTTTGCTAACTTTTGTAAAGTTCACTACCAATATTAGCTCATCATGCTAACTCGGGTCGAGTTCATTATCAATATTACTTCATTTTGCTAACTACTGTAGAGATCAGGGTCAGCATAACTAGGTGTTGTTTCAGATGTGTGATGCTGACGAGAACGACAGGAACGTCATTTGCAGCAGCTGCAAGGACAGCACCCACGACAACGTAAAGCACTGCCATGAAAAGCGTAAGTCCAGTCAGCTCATCTCTACCCCACTGCGCTGTACCTTAACACCTCAATAGTAGAGGTCGCATTACATGGTCTGATCAGCGGGGGGCCTTCCCGGACCTTCCATTGAAGGATATATTGTTGCCAGTCCTCCCAAAGTGCTAATAAGTATAATATTCCAAGGACTTTAAAGTAATCACCCTAATACTACCAACATTTTCGATCCAAGTATCCATGTTGGTAGCCCAGTGGTTAAAACGTTCGCTCGTCACGCCGAAGACCCGGGTTCAATTCCCGACACAGGTACAATGTGTGAAACCCATTTCTGGTGTCCCCGTCGTGATATTGCTGGAATATTGCTAAAAGCGGCGTAAAACCACACTCACTCACTCCATGTTGGCCAGACCCTCTTTACAAGTGTACAGGAGGATCCCGTCAGTGAACTGGTTATCCCCCTTGTCTCCAGCCCGTCCCTCACCTGACATGCCCCTATTTCTAATGTTCCACTCCCAAAACCAGATGGCTTGTGTACAAGGTGCTATCACTGGTACATGTTTGGCCGAGTGTATGTGGCTGCCGACGTGAATAGAAAGAAACAAGCTCGCTAACGTGTGGTATAAAACATGTAAATTCTCATATGCCTAAGGGGCGGTCGGGTAGCCTAGTGGTTAAAGCGTTAGCTCATCACGCCGAAGACCCGGGTTCGATTCCCGACATGGGTACAATGTGTGAAGCCCATTTCTGGTGTCCCCCGCCGTGATATTGCTGGAATATTGCTAAAAGCGGCGTAAAACCCATACCCACTTACTCACTCATATGCCTAAATGTCCATGTCACCATAATCTTTGTTTTGTTTTCCTTCAGTTCATGAATTCCAGAAACAACATAGCCCAGGTAGGGATACTACATGTATACCATTGCTTCAGATTTATATTACCGTTTCAATTATATACCACTGCTTCAGATATATATCATTATTTCAGTTGTATACTATTACTTAAGTTGTAGACCCATGAAGATCCTGAGAAGAGCAACCAATGCTTGCCGTAAAAGGCGACTATGCTTGTCGTAAAAGGCGACTAACGGGATCGGGTTGTCAGGCTCGCTGACTTGGTTGGTGCATGTCATCGATCCCAATTGCGTTGATAGATGCTCCTGATGTCAGTCATTGGATTCTCTGGTTCAGACTCGATTCTTTACAGACCGCCGTCATATAGCTGGAATATTGCTTTAAACAACAAACAAACAAACCAACTTAAGTTGTATACCACTTTTTCAGTTGTATTGCCTGAATTGAGCTATGATACACTGCTTCGGTTATATGCCGCTGCGTCAGTTACATAAAACTACTCCAGATACTTACCACTAATTGGGTTATATACCACTGCTTCACTTATATACGAATCCATCAGTTATATACCAATTTTTAGTTATATACTACTGCTTCAGTCCATCACTTCAGTTATGTACCACTTATTAAGTTTTATAAACCTGGTTTAGTTATATATAAGTAATCCAGTTATATATCACTACTTCAGTTATATACCAATAGTTGAGTTACGTTGCAAAAGTTGATATATATACTGATGCTGCTATTGTGTAACACTTCTTCAGTTAAATACCACTGCTCCCGTTATATGGCACAACTTAAGATCTATACTACCACTTCTATTATGTGCCACTACTTCAGTTATATAGAAAATGCTTCAACTATATATGGCTACTTCAGTTATATACCACCACTTCAGTTAAATATTAATGCTTCAATTATATACCTCACCTTCAGTCATATACAACCACTTCAGTCATATATTACTGCTTGAATCATATACCGCTTCTTTGGTTATATACAACTGCTTGCAATAAATACCACTGCTTCAGTCATGTGTCATTGTTTCAGCTATATGCCACCGTGACTGCTTAAGATATATACTACCACTTCAGTTATATATTAAGTACTGCCTAATTTTTATACCACTGCTTAAGTTATATACTGCTTCTTAAGTTATATACCCCTGCTTCAGTTATATGCCACGACTTCAGTTATATATTACTGTCTCAAAAATGTTGACAATTGAATGACAAATCATTGGCTTATGCTTGGCTTTTTATAGCCTCTACCAGGAGTAACGAATGCCATAACTTGTACGTGCATTGTGCTTTACTGTTTTCCTTCATGACCTATTTTAACAAGTGTGAAAACAATGCAGTTTAAGACATTGCAAATAGACATATTATGTTTACTGCTAACTGTGTTTTCATGATAAACTTTGCATGTTTTCTGTCTGTGTGTGTCATGACAACATGTACCTGTTAACATCTGAAGTTACCTGTGTGATAACATGCACATATTTATTTAGTTAAGGCTTTGGATAACAGTAACTGAGTGAGGTATTGCTGAATGTGACGTGGTATAAATGATATATACTTGACTGGCGAGATATAACTGGTACAATGTTGAAACGATGTTATACAGCTGAACTAGTGTTGTCGTTAGCGTTATAAACCTGTTACTGACATAATGTTCACTATGAAGTAATATAACTAATGTATTGTTGACTATTGTGTGACGTACGTGATGTATTGTCTATGGTGTAACAAACCTGATACATTGTTGACTTTGGTGTGATTAAAACTGATACATTGTTGACTATGGCGTGATATACCTGATACATTGTTTACTATGGTTGATATACCTGATACATTGTTAACTATGGTGTAACAAACCTGATACATCGTTGACTATGGCGTAATATAACTGATACATTGTTGACTATGGTTGATATACCTGATCCATTGTTGACTATAGTGTGATAAAACTGATACATTGTTGACTATGGCGCGATATAACTGATTCATTGTTGACTATGGTGTAACAAGCCTGATACATTGTTGACTATGGCGCGATATAACTGATTCATTGTTGACTATGGTGTAACAAGCCTGATACATTGTTGACTATGGTGTGATATAACTGATCCATTGTTGACTATGGTGTGATATAACTGATACATTGTTGACTATGGCGCGATATAACTGATACATTGTTGACTATGGTGTGATATAACTGATACATTGTTGACTATGGTGTAACAAGCCTGATGCATTGTTGACTATGGCGCGATATACCCCATACATTGTTGACTATGGCGCGATATACCTTATACATTGTTGACTATAGTGTAACAAGCCTGATACATCGTTGACTTTGGTGTTATATAACTGATATATTTTTAACTATGACATTATATAACACATTCATTGTTGACTGTGGCGTGTTGCTAAAACCAAGGGGGAATCATAAGTGATATGAATGAGGCGCTTCTATGATGGAACAGATGTATGTTGATTGGTGTTATGTAACGACTGCCGACTGCAGCCTAATGAAGCTGAAATATTGCTGGTGTGACAACAAGCATTGTGTCCATGACTGAGTGTTGGTAGAGCTGATCTGATCTCCCCGAGGCAAGGGTATTAACTAACTATAAAGTCCAGTTACCACCCCTCCCTGTCGAACTTGCAGGAATTATGGAGTTATATCTTGGCTGGACTAACGAGTCTATAAATAGTCCAATAAAAATCGCGGAACGAAATCGACATCCTACGGTGTTGATTTCGGTCGATTGCAGTATTTGCAAAGCATGTGTAATTCGGCGTCAACAGATATTTTCCAAATCTGTTCATGTTTGTAATCAAATTGCTCACGTCATTTGATGCTTTTCGCGAAGTAAAACCGGTTTTATCACAATATATTTTCATTATCGATCAGATTGACTTGACTCGGCGCTGCCATTTTGGTTGCAGCAAATGCAAGTGATATGAGATGTAGAATCTTATTGGTCAATATGAGGGACATAGAAGGGACATAACTTGTAATAGCCACTTGTGGCGCTACGATCTTGTGCAGAAAGACCATCCTAGTTCAGCAGTGGTGGAAACCGGACTTTTACAGTCAGATAAATCCCTTGCCGCAGGAAGATGAGTTCAAGATATTTGCACTTATATAGCGACGTTTATGTATGCATGCGCGTGTGGCTGCTTGCAGTAGTGGGCCAAGTGCTAGCCGACTGAGATACCATACCGCAATTTAACATGGATACCCCACTGAGACACAGTATGCTGACTCCGAGCCGACCAGTCCTTGTTTTAGCCCCCTTAATGCCTAGCCATAGACAGGAGAACAAGAAGTACCGTCTTTCAACGTCTTTTGGTATAACGCGGCCGGGGGTCTGAACCCCAACCTTCCGCTCTCCTGTCGCACGCTCTACCAGTATGATGTAAGTATAACACAAAAAGTACACATTTTTGTGTTCACGTTGTTGATTTTCTGATTCCAGATAACTGTTTGACTTGCCATTTTAACGGCCACATCTTCTGCGACAAACATGAAAGGTGTGACGACGATAAGGTAAAAGAAGCTTTTGACACGGACCTTGTATTGTTCAATCACACGTGCATTATTTGATCAGAATAACGGAATAATTACACCGTTCCTCAACATGAGTTATATTGAGGATATTTATGGTGTAACTGGTTGTGTAGGATTGAGTGTACATTTGAATGATATCTACGTTAATTAGGCCACCTAAACAATCCTAGTTACTTATTGCTTTTTAACAAAGTAGGTTGGTATCAAAATTTCTCTATGCTTCAAAAACTCGCAGCCTTTCTTGATGTCCATAATCACGACCCTCTCTGGCGGGTTACATCTAAATGTGCAAATTCAGAATGGAAAATAATCAGGAAAATAAATGCGGAACCGGAACTTAGCATGTCAAAATATTTAGACTTTTTTGGACGTGCCTATTTTTTTAAATGAGAAACAAGATTTGATTACGTTGCCTTAGAAATCCTTTTATTTTGATATAGGCATGCTACATACAAGAGACACGGGATAGCCACAATTCCCACTATTACAACGGATACCACGCTGGCTGCATTGATAAGAGGGTAAGACATCAGTCCGTCAATTACATGCATAAAAGCCGCAAAACGTGTACGCGACATTCGCGGTCATAATACCAGGTGACTGCACGTGTCTGCACGTGTCTGCGGATGTGACAGTATCCGTTCAGTTGGTACAAACCAGTTAAACTGGATGTGTACCCTTGGAACAGCCGTAAAAATAAATGTAACGAATGACCAATTCATTAACGGTAATTGGAAAATGGGTTCAACATTTCAAACATCCAAGATACAATGTATGCATTATTTTTGTAAAATGCGAAAACTGCATAAAGACCTGGAGTTATATTTTAGATGGGACTCCTATAAGAGTGGTAAAAGGGACTAAACCCTTCGTACCTTTGATAGTGTAGTACCGGGCAAGGCTCTTGTAAGGGCAGCAAAAACACAGAACATTACGCTGCTGGGGTGTGAGTGGACAGCTGTATCTGTCTTTGATTTGTAATGCACATACGCTGGTTTGTTGGAACTCACTGTTCGTCAGTGAGCTGGCCACTATGTGTATGGTGGTCAGAGCAAAGGCTTTATAGATCATATTCTTCTTAGAGAGATCCTGAGCACAACGCTTGGGTTCCCCAAAAAACACAAAACTAACCATCTGCTGGTTCAAATAAAATGAATAAAACGAAGTGATGGATATAACGAACGTTTGTGTTTGGTCCCGTCCATTGGCGGTATCCTTTTGTTGAAACGCTATCAACGATCTACGGTTATAACCAACCAAAATTATTAGTCCCTTTGTGTGTTGTCAGCGCTTTGAGCAGGCTTTGTTGCCTGGAAGTCACCGTTTCTTCTTCTTCTTCCACTTCTTCTTCTTCTTGTTCTTCCTCTTCTTCTTCTTCCTCTTCTTCCCCTTCTTCCTCTTCTTCTTCCTCTTCTTCTTGTTCTTCCCCTTCTTCTTCTTCCTCTTCTTCTTCGTCCTCTTCTTCTTCTTCCTCTTCTTCCCCTTCTTCCTCTTCTTCTTCTTCCTCTTCTTCTTGTTCTTCCTCTTCTTCTTCTTGTTCTTCCTCTTCTTCTTCTTCTTGTTCTTCCTCTTCTTCTTCTTCCTCTTCTTCCCCTTCTTCCTCTTCTTCTTCTTGTTCTTCCTATTCTTCTTCTTCTTCTTGTTCTTCCTCTTCTTCTTCTTCCTCTTCTTCCCCTTCTTCCTCTTCTTCTTCTTCGTCCTCTTCTTCTTCTTCCTCTTCTTCCCCTTCTTCCTCTTCTTCTTCTTCCTCTTCTTCTTGTTCTTCTTCTTCCCCTTCTTCCTCTTCCACTTCTTCTTCTTCCTCTTCTTCCTCTTCTTCCCCTTCCTCTCCACTTCTTCTTCTTCCTCCTCTTCTTCTTCTTCCTCCTCTTCTTCCCCTTCCCCTTCTTCTTCTTCCTCTTCCTCTTCTTCTTCTTCTTCCTCTTCTTCCTCCTCTTCTTCTTCCTCTTCTACTTCTTCTCCCTCTTCTTTTTCTTTTTCCTCTTCTTCTTCTTCTTTATGTTGTAGACGTGTGACACAATCTCCAGTAAGGGAGTTTACCACAATCACAGGGTGGTAAAGGGTGCTTGTTGTTACACCACCAACTGCAACTCCATGAACTTCCTGGAAGGACACGGAAGTAGGTATTCGCTTATTAAAGCATGGGGGGTGCTTTGTTCCGAGATCTGTTGTCCATTTACAGTATAGGCCTTGACATGTTTTCATCGGAAAGTGCTTGTTTGAAGCAGAAACAATGTGTCAGTGTTTAGAGTAACTAGATTGTGATTGTGTCATTATATATGTAGTCTTGCATGTATTTTGGATTAATGTGTATATACAAGAAATTGTGTTTATATAGGCATTTCTTATGTATGTCTATGTTATTCTTGCAAACATTATGATTATGTTCTTGTGTAAATATATTTCTCTTTGTTACTATAAATGTAATATGTGCATATGTTTATGATTATGTGTATATATGATTATGTGTATATGTATGTATTTCTGTAAACGTATGTATATGTATGTGTGTATGTATATATATACATATATATATGTATAATCAATGTCTGTACAAATACACTAAGGTGGATAACATTTGCCCAATCCCGTTGACCATATATGTTAAGAACATATGTTTAAAATAAACAGAGTAACTAGATTGATATATTCATAATACATTTTGGGTTAGAAGACACGAATCACATTAGTTTGAGACAGATTACTTCTTCAGTGATCGCGTCAAGGGGGACAATCTTTTCGCTCAAAGGAGCAGCAAAAGCATTTCCTTGAACCACCAAAACATATACACAGTAAAAAAAGTGTTGCACCCCCTATACTTTTTCATGGAGGGGTGTTTTGAAAGGGTGTAAAGATAACCGAATTAATATTATAACCAGGATTTCGTGTATACCAACATACCAGTGTATTGTCTATACAATGAACTTAAATGGGGTATTCCATGACCTTATGGCATGTAATAATCTCATGCTGAACTTTTACGAAAAATGAACGAACAACGAAGACGCATTAAGTATGGTGACATCTCAATAATTTTTAGTGACCAAATTCATCCAATAGGGTAAGAATGTCATATGGAGATTTGACGAACACAGTAAGTCAATATCGAGAACTTCCACCAAGCACTTGGATCACAGCTTGAAGTCTTCGTCTCATACCCCTCACCAGACATTGGAATCGCTCCATGGGCAGCTGCTGCCTCTCCTCGTGTAATGCTGCTTCCAATTCACGCAAGTTCTGTGGAGGAGGGTCCCGACGATAAATCAGGCGTCCCAAAATGTCCCATACATGTTCCAGAGGATTCAGATCTTGACTCATTGCTGGCCATGGAATCTGCGTCAGAGCATTGTTGTGGAAAACCTGGGTCACAGCTCGTGAACGATGTGGTCTGGCATTGTCATCCATGAATATCGGTCTGGTGGCCAGTGGATGATTGTCAAAATGGGGCACCACAACTGGATTCAGCACCTCTTGGATGTAGCGCTCCCCTGTCAAGTTGCCTCGTATGGTCACTAAATCAAGCTTACAATCAAATGAGAAGCATCCCCAGACCATAACAGATCCACCTCCATATGGTACAGTTGGCATGATGTTTCTTGCAGTATAAGCTGTTCCAGGACGCCTCCATACTCTCACTCTGCCATCCACAACATGCAGAAGGAACCTGCTTTCGTCCGACCAGTGGACTCTTCTCCAGGACCTCAAGTTCCAGTTCTGTCTCAGTCTACACCAGGCTAGACGTAGTCGTTTGTGGTTGTCTGTGAGTTTAGGTCGCTTGATAACCCTTCTGGACTTCAACCCTGCAGCTTTAAGACGATTTCTCACGGTCTGGGTACTGAACTGTTGACGAGGAAGCCAAAGACGTTTCAAGGTTGTGTTCAACAACGCTCTGTCATCTCTAACTGTGGTCTTACGTGGTCTGCCAGAGGGTCTGCGATTCCTTACATCATTAGTTTGTGCGTGTTTTCTGACCAAACGGCTTATTGTTGAGTAGTGATGTCCGGTTCTTCTGCCAATCTCCTTGAACGAAAGACCTGCTCCATGAAGGCCAATAATCTGCCACTTGACTGCTTCTGACAATCGTCTACCCGGCATTGTGGGTTACAATAAACTGGGCTGTCAGAGAACATCTTTTATAGGCGATGTTGAGCTTAAGAAGATACTGCAATCTGCAAATGTCATGCACCATGCAATTCACGTGCTGATTGCTACGTTTTGGTGATCATCTTCCCTCCGAAAACATTACACATTTAACATCAGATCCCCAAGGAATACCTACCATTAAAACCAGAGTCGGGCGTTTTAAATGTTGTGATGTATCAAACGTATTAATGTGGGGGTGCAACACTTTTTTTACTGTGTATATGTTTGATTACAATATTATCATCATTGTTATTGTCATTACGATTTGTACTATTATCATAGCTATAGCCTCCATCATTGTCATGGCTATAGCCTCCATCATTGTCATGGCTATAGTCTTCATCATTGTCACGGCTATAGTCTTCATCATTATCACGGCTATAGTCTTCATCATTATCACGGCTATAGTCTTCATCACTTTCATGGCTATAGCCACCATCATTGTCATGGCTATAGCCTCCATCATTGTCATGGCTAAGCCTCAATCATTATCATGGCTATAGCCTCTATCATTGTCATGACTAAGCCTCCATCATTGTCATGGCTATAGCCTCCATCATTATCATGGCTATAGTCTTCATCATTGTCATGGCTACAGCCAACATCATTGTCATGGCTATAGCCTCCATCATTGTCATGACTATAGCCTCCATCATTGTCATGGCTATAGCCTCCATCATTGTCATGGCTAAGCCTCCATCATTATCATGGCTATAGCCTCTATCATTGTCATGACTAAGCCTCCATCATTGTCATGGCTATAGCCTCCATCATTATCATGGCTATAGTCTTCATCATTGTCATGGCTATAGCCAACATCATTGTCATGGCTATAGCCTCCATCATTGTCATGACTATAGCCTCCATCGTTGTCATGGCTATAGCCTCCGTCATTATCATGGCTATCACCTCCATCATTGTCATGGCTATAGCCTCCATCATTGTCAAGGCCATAGCCTCCATCGTTGTCATGGCTATAGCCTCCGTCATTATCATGGCTATCACCTCCATCATTGTCATGGCTATAGCCTCCATCATTGTCATGGCTATAGTCTCCATCATTGTCATGGCTATAGCCTCCATCATTGTCAAGGCTATAGCCTCCATCGTTGTCATGGCTATAGCCTCCGTCATTATCATGGCTATCACCTCCATCATTGTCATGGCTATAGCCTCCATCATTGTCATGGCTATTACCTCCATCATTGTCATGGCTATAGCATCCATCATTGTCATGGCTATTACCTCTATCATTGTCATGGCTATAGCCTCCATCATTGTCATGGCTATAGCCTCCATCATTGTCATGGCTATTACCTCTATCATTTCCATGGCTAAAGCCTCCATCATTGTCATGGCTAGTATCTCTATCATTGTCATGGCTATTACTTCTATCATTGTCATGGCTATTACTTCTATCATTGTCATGGCTATTACTTCTATCATTGTCATGGCTATTACTTCTATCATTGTCATGGCTATTACTTCTATCATTGTAATAGCTATTACCTCTATCATTGTCATGGCTATTGTGACTATCATTGGCATGGCCATCATCTCTAACATCGTCATGGCTATTACTTATATCATCTTCACGGCAATTATTTCTACCATTGCCGTGGACATAATTTCTAGCATTGCCGTTCTATTGTTGTCGTGGACATTATATCTAGCATTGCCGTTCTATTGTTGTCGTGGACATTACCATTGTCATTGTTCCTGTGATGTTGTTTACGTGAATACTGACATTGCACACTTACTTTTTCGTTACAAGTCACGTCGACTACACATGCACACACTGTGATGGCAGCGACAACAACAAAACCGCCGACAACGACAGAACCAGCGACAACAACAAAACCGCCGACAACGACAGAACCAGCGACAACAACAAAACCGCCGACAACGACAGAACCAGCGACAACAACAAAACCGCCGACAACGACAGAACCAGCAACAACAACAAAACAACAGACAACTGCAGAGCAAACAACCACGGTAGCTACGGAAACAACAACGGTTATCAAAACCACTGTGAAAGCTACACAACCGCCGTCAACGTCCATTCCGACTACAGCAACCACGCCACCGTCGACCACAGAGGGTACGTCGAATGTTGTCTCGGATGAACGTAACGCCACTGAATCAGAATGGAAAACGTTTCATCCTGGAATATTTCTAGAATTAACCGATCTCTCGAAAAAACGACACACGGTAATGATGCTAAATTAATTTTAAATTAATTAATAAACGTTACCCACATGTTGTTGTATCCATAAGGGGCGGTCGGGTAGCCTAGTGGTTAAGGCGTTCGCTCGTCACGCCGAAGACCCGGGTTCGATTCCCGACATGGATACAATGTGTGAAGCCCGTTTCTGGTGTCCCCCGCTGTGATATTGCTGGAATATTGCTATAAGCGGCGTAAAACCTCCCTCCCTCCCTCCCTCCCTGACTGACTGACTGACTGACTGACTGACTGACTGACTCACTGACTCACTGACTGACTGACTGACTGACTGACTGACTCACTCACTCACTCACTCACTCACTCACTCATTGTATCCATAATGTATGACATTCTCTCTCCGAAGCATACCGTCTTTGCGCCACCTACACCGACCAAACGTCCCCTCACCCCAGCAATAAGCAGAGATGTGCAACTGCAGAGGTAGGTCGTCCATACATACATGTATCCTTTAAACAATTACCACACACGTATGAAGGGCGGTTAATAAAGCACTTACTGAGTAGATTCTAAGGTCGATGATGTATGAGTATGGTTTTACTCCGCTTTTAGCAATATTCCAGCAATATCAGGGCGGGGGACACCAGAAATGGGCTTCACACATTGTACCCATGTCGGGAATCGAATCCGGGTCTTCGGCGTGACGAGCGAACGCTTTAACCACTAGGCTACCTGACCGCCCCTTCTAAGGTGGAACCGGATCCAGAGTCTATGTATATATGTCTCACGTGGGATTCCGAGATGGCGTAAATCTCCCGTAACCGATGTTCCCCGTGGTGTTTCAAGGACAAAAATGGTCTAGGCTTTTCTTACGTGGAACATCCAAAATACAAGAGGTCTTGTCTTATTTGCCCGTGTGGCTTTCGGTATGGTGTAGGTCTCCATTGGTAAATCCGTTCTTCCGTTGGGTTGGGGGATAGTATAGGAGAAGTACCCTAAGGGTGTCAACCCAGGGGCATACTGTATCTAGATCCAAGCACTCTAACCTTTATCACACGTGGGATAGTCTCTTCGTTTGAGTATCGAGGCGTGGTCCCATGGTTTGTGTAGACGATGACTCAACTTAGGATTGGTTGGCCACAATGATAGGTGACTAATGGTAGTATTAGCTGGTTGGCCCTGGTGGACGTGATCAAGTTGGTTCATCTACTCCAAATGCAGTCAGACCCGGCTGATTATTCAAACTCTCTTTAACTCTCTTTAACAACTGCCTCCGTGTATACTTCAGGGGTCGGTCGGGTAGCCTGGTGGTTGAAGCATTCTCTCGTCACGCTGAAGACCCGGGTTCGATTCCCGACATGGGTACACTGTGTGAAGCCGATTTCTGGTGAGCCCCGCCCTGATATTGCTGGAATATTGCTAAAAGCAGCGTCAAACCATACCTCACTCATTAACTCACTCGTTTACTTCTGGGACCGCCTCCGTGGTCTAGTGGTAGAGCGTCCGCCCGGAGAGCGGAAGGTCCTGGGTTCGATCCCCGACCGCGTCATACAAAAAGACGTTAAAAGATGGTACTGTCTGGCTCTCGGCATTAAGGGGCTAAAACAAGGACTGGTCGGCTCGGAGTCAGTATACTGTGTCTGAGTGGGGTATTCATGTTAAACTGCGTCATGGTATCTCAATGGGCTAGCACTGTAAATCGGCATCAGTCCGGACTACTACAAGCAGCCACACATACACACACACACACACACACACACACACGTGCATGCACGTCGCTATATAAGTGCAATAATCTTGGACGCGACGTTGAACCCAATTTCACCTCACCTCACCGTTTACTTCTGTTAATGATTGACCGTGCGCTTCACTCACCTCATGGCCACTACAATGGTTGTATTGCTTGTATCAGGAGATGTGTTCCCTGCAGCAGTACACGGCCCCGGAGCACCACTACAAGCTCTTCCGGAGTGGCTGTTCCAACAAGCAGGTAGGCATGGCGATCTGTTGCATTAGATACGCTATCAGCCAGTAGGTATGTATATATTCCCATCGTACAGGCGCCACTGTAGAATCAATAGAAAGGCAAATCGTATTAAAACATTACACAATTGAAACTTTCCCGTTACAAGGTACCTTAATGTGATCAGCGACTTTTGTATCACGTCAAGTCCGTGGTTACAGCTAGTTGCAAGCCCCACGTCTGTTGATATACAATTAGCTACGAACCTTTTGTCATTTCCATCTTGACGGTACCGCCGTCGAAACGAACGAACGACGCCCAAACGGTACAGCGGCCATTTTGTTTGCAGACATCTTGAAACATCAGAAATTGGTAAAACCTAAGCCTCAGTCGCTTAATGAATATAACTCAACTGCAATCTTTAAACTCAAGTCTAAATGTAAAACACATAGGTTTTTTTCCACGACTTAAGTTTTATTTCAGACTTAAGTTCTTTATGACTATCGCCCCGGCTTCATCAAGCATACACGCCGGAATATCACTGATGTCATAATATTCAAATCGACGCCGAGCTAAGTCACTGGCTGTGCATGTGTTACAAATGAGGCATTCTTTTAAGAATAATTTTTTTTGTAGTATTCCCATTTTTCCTCTGCATAATTAGAACTTGCTCAAACTGTGAAACTTATTCAGCTGTTTGGCCAGGGCGCACTGTTCTGAACTGTTCTCTTACATTTGACATGCTTATTACACACTGGAATAGAGGGGGCACGGGTGGCCCAATCTTCTAGGGCGCCGCAATTCGCTGTGCAGAGTTGCGTCCCTTGGCAAGGCCAGAAACCTATGATTATGGGTTCGAATCCCGGTTCGCCCCGATTATTTTCTAGGTTTGTCAGCACAAAACCCGTTCTCGTGGGTTTCACCGAAGTGGTAAACGTCTAAGACCTGCATTACTTCGAGCTTTCCTCCCACATTAAGTTGACACGTGATATAACGGGAATAATGTTAAAGGCGGCGTTAAACCAAACTCACTGACTCACTCACTGGAAGCGATGGGCTTGGTGTGTTTGTAAAGCCCATTCTTCAGACATTTTCATTCGATGTCACTTTGATATGAACATGCATTATGTGTGAATTATTTATCTCACCCACCACCATATTACAGTTATAACACGTATATATTTACATTTTAGAATTGTGACGTCATCAGCGACAAATCACGTGACCCGACAGTGCTGTATGGAGCATGTAGCATCACCATCGAACAAAGCTTGAATGAATTCCTCAGATACCAACACGAACGCGAAATGGGTGAGTGCGTGAGATGTGAGGAGGAATGAATGAACAAATCTACCAATAAAGGAGTAGTCTGGTTTAACGAGGGTACAGTGGACGAATACAGAGCTATATATACGATACCCGCTAATCGAGGATTAATTGTGGGAACGAAACTGTGAAATTAGGGCCTAAATGGTATTACATTAAATCTTTTACTCCGAAACGATACCTACATGTGTCTGCGTCCAGATCTGAAGATACCTCCAAAGAAAATCAGGTCAGACGAACTTTGACCACCCAATCTAAATGAAGGATACGTGGGTTCTTGAGCTAATCAGATGCCAGTTTTCGAATACAGTTCGGCTTCATTTGTTTACCACCTCGATTCTGACATTTCGATCTCCGCCAAAGAAACCACAAACATATACCTCCCATAGTATGTGTTTGTTTGTTGTATAACGCCGCACTCAGCAATATTCCAGTTATATGACGGCGGTCTGTAAATAATCGTATCTGGACCAGACATCCAGTGATTGACATCATGAGCATCGATCTAGGCAATGGAGATACGATGACATGCATCAGCCAAGTCACCGAGCCTGACCACTCGATCCCGTTAGTCGCCTCTTACGACAAGCATAATCGCCTTTACGGCAGCATGGGTTGCTGAAGACCATTTCTACCCCGGATCTCCTTCCATAGCAACTCTTTTGGATGTGGATGTCATGGCGATCACAAACGACAGGATGTATAAAATATCCAGAACAATGTTATGGCACGGCATTATCATTTCGCTTTCGGATTTCCTCGATGATTCTCGTTTTCGAGATACAGAAATAAGATATGCTTTTATGAATGCATCGCTCAGTCGAACCGAGAATTTAGAAGCCTCGACGCTGATTGGTTGATTAGAGAGTTTACGTGACCCATCCCCAACATGGACACGAGGCTGCAGTGTTTCCCCTATTCGTGACCAACTCGTGTTATTCCGGAACAAGCCAAATAGCGACTTGTGCCCCTCTCGTGGTCGTTTTTCGCAACTGAGCTCCGTCTAAGCGAAAACGGTCATAGCTAAAAGAATTGTCAACTCGTTGCGTAATGATTCACATATATAGTTCCCTATATATATATGTTCCAGATGCTATTGAAAACACATCCGGACTTACGGTATTATACATCAAGTTTGAGCACATGTAAACTGTACGTTTGGCATATTTTTAGATGCAAGACATGTAAAGTCAAAAGTATTCCTGAGAGATTCTTTGACCGAATTTCTTGAAGTCATACGCGCATTCTGATTGGTTTGTCGTATTTTCGCACATAACATTCATCGAAAGGGGGACGAGTCTTCTTGCAGGTTACGGAAAGGGGCGAGTGGTGACTAATGGTGTTTCCCCTTCCCCAGGAAGCCATTTTGTTTATCTAAGATTACATTTTTTGTTTTATTTCGGGTACTTTCGAGTTATTCATGATTAACACTGGTGACTCAGTTTGAATCTGGTCAACCCTGGTTGCCAGAAATGTGGTGACCTCGGTTAACAAATTTTAATAATCAAACAACACCAGTAATTTGAGCATGGAACATTGAAAACTATGAGATTTTACTTGTTAACAGTCACGACCTATGTTGTAAGCCTGATTTATGTGTGGCAAGGTCCAAATGGATTATGCACATTAAAATATTCTTTCTCAAACTGAGAATAAGTACATATGGACTAACCAACCTTTTCGTTCCGTCCATTGGTTAGAACAACGTGTCACAATTGTTTAAATGATCCGTTTGTAAAGTGATGGCATTCTGAAATAGAACTGTCAACAAAAGCAAAGTTTCACAAAATAATAAAGTATAATCAATTGTTTGATATAGAAAATACCTTATACATCTACCTCCCAAATTATATTCAAGTCTCTTACATTTTAGAAATTCTTGTCACAGACTACCCATAGAAACTTCAAGATGGAATAAAATTTCCTGTTTCTGAAAGAAAATGTAATCTTTGTAAAAATTCTGTTTTTGTACAACGCCGTACTTTTGCATGCGTCACGTCCGCTTTTAATCATTACATGCACTGCAGGTTAACTGTCATAACTAGTCATTATATGAACTGCATGTTAACTGTCAAAACTAGTCATTACGTGCACTGCCGGTTACCTGTCATAACTAGTCATTACATGCACTGCAGGTTAACTGTCATAACTAGTCATTACATGCAGTGCTGGGTAACTGTCATAACTAGTCATCACATGCATTGCAGGATAACTGTCATAACTAGTCATTACATGCACTGCAGGTTAACTGTCATAACCAGTCATCACATGCACTGCTGGGTAACTGTCATAACTAGTCATCACATGCACTGCAAGTTAACTGTCAAAGCTAGTCATCACATGCGCTGCAGGTTAACTGTCAAAGCTAGTCATCACATGCACTGCTAGTTAACTGTAATTACTAGTCATGGCATGCATTGCAGGTTAACTGTCATAACTAGTCATCACATGCACTGCAGGTTAACTGTCAAAGCGAGTCATTACATGCACTGCAGGTTAACTGTCATAGCTAGTCATTACATGCACTGCAGGTTAAGTGTCATAACTAGTCATTACATGCACTGCTGGGTAACTGTCATAACTAGTCATCACATGCACTGCTGGTTAACTGTCAAAGCTAGTCATCACATGCACTGCAGGTTAACTGTCAAAGCTAGTCATCACATGCACTGCAGGTTAACTGGCATAACTAGTCATCACATGCACTGCTGGGTAACTGTCATAACTAGTCATTACATGCACTGCAGGTTAAGTGTCATAACTAGTCATTACATGCACTGTTGGGTAACTGTAATAACTAGTCATTACATGCACTGCAGGTTAACAGTTATAACAAGTCATTACATGCACTGCAGGTTACCTGTCATAGCCAGTCATCACATGCACTGCAGGTTAACTGTCGTAACTAGTCATTACATGCATTGCAGGTTAACAGTTATAACTAGTCATTACATGAATTGCATGTTAACTGTCATAACTAGTCATTACATGCACTGCCTGGGTATCCGCCATAACTAGTCATTACATGCACTGCAGGTTAACTGTCATAACTAGTCATTACATGCACTGCAGGTTAACTGTCATAACTAGTCATTACATGCACTCCTGGGTAACTGTCATAACTAGTCATTACATGCACTGCAGGGTAACTGTCATAACTAGTTATTACATGCACTGCTGGATAACTATCAAAACTAGTAATTACATGCACTGCTGGGTATCCGCCATAACTAGTCATTACATGCACTGCAGGTTAACTGTCATAACTAGTTATTACATGCACTGCTGGGTAACTGTCAAAACTAGTCATTACATGCACTGCGGGTTAACTGTCATAACTAGTCATTACATGCCCTGCAGGTTAACTGTCATAACTAGTCATTACATGCACTGCAGGTTAACAGTTATAACTAGTCATTACGTGCACTGCTGGGTAACTGTCATAACTAGTCATTACATGCACTGCAGGGTAACTGTCATAACTAGTTATTACATGCACTGCTGGGTAACTGTCAAAACTAGTCATTACATGCACTGCTGGGTATCCGCCATAACTAGTCATTACATGCATTGCAGGTTAACAGTTATAACTAGTCATTACATGCACTGCAGGTTACCTGTCATAGCTAGTCATCACATGCACTGCAGGTTAACTGTCATAGCTAGTCATTACATGCATTGCAGGTTAACTGTCATAACTAGTCATTACATGCATTGCAGGTTAACAGTTATAACTAGTCATTACATGCATTGCATGTTAACTGTCATAACTAGTCATTACATGCATTGCAGGTTAACAGTTATAACTAGTCATTACATGCACTGCCTGGGTATCCGCCATAACTAGTCATTACATGCACTGCAGGTTAAGTGTCATAACTAGTCATTACATGCACTGCAGGTTAACAGTTATAACTAGTCATTACGTGCACTGCTGGGTAACTGTCATAACTAGTCATTACATGCACTGCAGGGTAACTGTCATAACTAGTTATTACATGCACTGCTGGGTAACTGTCAAAACTAGTAATTACATGCACTGCTGGGTATCCGCCATAACTAGTCATTACATGCACTGCAGGTTAACTGCCATAACTAGTTATTACATGCACTGCTGAGTAACTGTCAAAACTAGTCATTACATGCACTGCGGGTTAACTGTCATAACTAGTCATTACATGCACTGCAGGTTAACTGTCATAACTAGTCATTACATGCACTGCAGGTTAACTGTCATAACTAGTCATTACATGCACTGCTGGGTAACTGTCATAACTAGTCATTACATGCACTGCAGGGTAACTGTCATAACTAGTTATTACATGCACTGCTGGGTAACTGTCAAAACTAGTAATTACATGCACTGCTGGGTATCCGCCATAACTAGTCATTACATGCACTGCAGGTTAACTGTCATAACTAGTCATTATATGCACTACAGGTTAACTGTCATAACCAGTCATTACATGCACTGCAGGTTAACTGTCATAACTAGTCATTACATGCACTGCTGGGTAACTGTCATAACTAGTCATTACATGCACTGCAGGGTAACTGTCATAACTAGTTATTACATGCACTGCTGGGTAACTGTCAAAACTAGTAATTACATGCACTGCTGGGTATCCGCCATAACTAGTCATTACATGCACTGCAGGTTAACTGTCATAACTAGTCATTACATGCACTGCAGGTTAAGTGTCATAACTAGTCATTATATGCACTACAGGTTAACTGTCATAACCAGTCATTACATGCACTGCAGGGTAACTGAAATTTACGAGGAAAGTCACGGATTTCTCTGATTCCACGAGTATAATACACGTAACTGGATTTCATACTAAACGGATAATAGTTGAAGTCAACCGAGTGACACTATTTAAAGACGACTCTAGCATTTGTTTACAAATGCCATCCTTTCTCGTTCTAGACAATCTGCGTCACGAGGCGCACTGTAGAAAGTGTACCGCAGCCCCACTGCAGACGTCAGACGATTGTGGTCAATACCAGGCGTGTTTCCCAGAGCAGGTATAGCAGTGTGGTCACTATCAAACATGTTTCCCAAAGCAGGAAAAGCAATGTGGCCGCTGTCAGACGTGTCTCCCAGAGCGTGTATAGCAATGTGGTCGCTGTCAAACGTGTTTTCCAGAGCGTGTATAGCAATGTGGTCACTACAAGACGTGTCTACAAGAGCAAGTATAGCAATGTGGTCGCTGTCAGACGTGTCTCCCAGAGCGTGTATAGCAGAGTGGTCGCTGTCAGACGTGTCTCCCAGAGCGTGTATAGCAATGTGGTCGCTGTCAGACGTGTCTCCCAGAACGTGTATAGCAATGTGGTCGCTGTCAGACGTGTTTTCCAGAGCATGTATAGCAATGTTGTCCCTGTCAGACGTATATCCCAGAGCGTGTATAGGAATGTGGTCACTGTCAGACGTGTCTCCCAGAGCAGGTATAGGAATGTGGTCACTGTCAGACGTGTCTCCCAGAGCAGGTTTTGGAATGTGGTCGCTGTTAGACGTGTATCCCAGAGCATGTATAGGGATGTGGTCGCCGTCAGACGTGTCTCCCAGAGGAGGTATAGTATTGTGGTCACTGCCAGACGTGTCTCCCAGAGCAGGTATAGTAATGTGGTCGCTGTCAGCCGTGTATCCCAGAGCATGTATAGGGATGTGGTCCCTGTCAGACGTGTTTCCCAGAGCATGTATAAGAATGTGGTCCCTGTCAGACGTGTCTCCCAGAGCAGGTATAGTAATGTGCTCGCTGTCAGACGTGTCTTTCAGAGGAGGTATAGGAATGTGGTCCCTGTCAGACGTGTATCCCAGAGCATGTATAGGGATGTGGTCGCTGTCAGACGTGTCTTTCAGAGGAGGTATAGGAATGTGGTCACTGTCAGACGTGTATCCCAGAGCATGTATAGGAATGTGGTCACTGTCAGACGTGTCTTCCAGAGCAGGTATAGAAATGTTGTCACTGTCAGACGTGTCTCCCAGAGCATGTATTGGAATGTGGTCGCTGTCAGACGTGTATCCCAGAGCATGTATAGGGATGTGGTCGCTGTCAGACGTGTCTTCCAGAGGAGGTATAGGAATGTGGTCACTGCCAGACATGTCTCCCAGATCAGGTATAGTAATGTGGTCGCTGTCAGCTGTGTCTCCCAGAGCGTGTATAGGAATGTGGTCGCAGTCAGACGTGTCTCCCAGAGCGTGTATAGCAATGTGGTCGCAGTCAGACGTGTCTCCCAGAGCGTGTATAGCAATGTGGTCACTGTTAGACGTGTCTCCCAGAGCATGTATAGCAATGTGGTCGCTGTCAGACGTGTCTTCCAGAGCATGTATAGCTTTGTGGTCTCTGTCAGACATGTATCCCAGAGCAGGTATAGCAATGTGGTCTCTAACAGGCGTGTTTCCCAGAGCAGGTATAGCAATGTGGTCTCTAACAGGCGTGTCCCAGAGCAGGTATAGCAGTGTGGTCTCTACCAGGCGTGTTTCCCAGAGCAGGTATAGCAATGTGGTCTCTACCAGGCGTGTTTCCCAGAGCAGGTATAGCAATGTGGTCACTACAAGACGTGTCTACAAGAGCAAGTATAGCAGTGTGGTCACTATCAAACATGTTTCCCAAAGCAGGAAAAGCAATGTAGTCGCTGTCAGACGTGTCTCCCAGAGCGTGTATAGCAGAGTGGTCGCTGTCAGACGTGTCTCCCAGAGCGTGTATAGCAATGTGGTCGCTGTCAGACGTGTCTCCCAGAGCGTGTATAGCAATGTGGTCGCTGTCAGACGTGTTTTCCAGAGCATGTATAGCAATGTTGTCCCTGTCAGACGTATATCCCAGAGCGTGTATAGCAATGTGGTCACTGTCAGACGTGTCTCCCAGAGCAGGTATAGGAATGTGGTCACTGTCAGACGTGTCTCCCAGAGCAGGTTTTGGAATGTGGTCGCTGTTAGACGTGTATCCCAGAGCATGTATGGGGATGTGGTCGCCGTCAGACGTGTCTCCCAGAGGAGGTATAGTATTGTGGTCACTGCCAGACGTGTCTCCCAGAGCAGGTATAGTAATGTGGTCGCTGTCAGCCGTGTATCCCAGAGCATGTATAGGGATGTGGTCCCTGTCAGACGTGTTTCCCAGAGCATGTATAGGAATGTGGTCCCTGTCAGACGTGTCTCCCAGAGCAGGTATAGTAATGTGGTCGCTGTCAGACGTGTCTCCCAGAGCATGTATAGGAATGTGGTCCCTGTCAGACGTGTATCCCAGAGCATGTATAGGGATGTGGTCGCTGTCAGACGTGTCTTTCAGAGGAGGTATAGGAATGTGGTCACTGTCAGACGTGTATCCCAGAGCATGTATAGGAATGTGGTCACTGTCAGACGTGTCTTCCAGAGCAGGTATAGGAATGTTGTCACTGTCAGACGTGTCTCCCAGAGCATGTATTGGAATGTGGTCGCTGTCAGACGTGTATCCCAGAGCATGTATGGGGATGTGGTCGCTGTCAGACGTGTCTTCCAGAGGAGGTATAGGAATGTGGTCACTGCCAGACATGTCTCCCAGATCAGGTATAGTAATGTGGTCGCTGTCAGCTGTGTCTCCCAGAGCGTGTATAGGAATGTGGTCGCAGTCAGACGTGTCTCCCAGAGCGTGTATAGCAGTGTGGTCGCAGTCAGACGTGTCTCCCAGAGCGTGTTTAGCAATGTGGTCGCTGTTAGACGTGTCTCCCAGAGCATGTATAGCAATGTGGTCGCTGTCAGACGTGTCTTCCAGAGCATGTATAGCTTTGTGGTCTCTGTCAGACATGTATCCCAGAGCAGGTATAGCAATGTGGTCTCTAACAGGCGTGTTTCCCAGAGCAGGTATAGCAATGTGGTCTCTAACAGGCGTGTTTCCCAGAGCAGGTATAGCAGTGTGGTCTCTACCAGGCGTGTTTCCCAGAGCAGGTATAGCAATGTGGTCTCTACCAGGCGTGTTTCCCAGAGCAGGTATAGCAATGTGGTCACTACAAGACGTGTCTACAAGAGCAAGTATAGCAGTGTGGTCACTATCAAACATGTTTCCCAAAGCAGGAAAAGCAATGTGGCCGCTGTCAGACGTGTCTCCCAGAGCGTGTATAGCAATGTGGTCACTACAAGACGTGTCTCCCAGAGCGTGTATAGCAATGTGGTCGCTGTCAGACGTGTCTCCCAGAGCGTGTATAGCAATGTGGTCGCTGTCAGACGTGTATCCCAGAGCGTGTATAGCAATGTGGTCGCTGTCAGACATGTCTCCCAGAGCGTGTATAGCAATGTGGTCGCTGTCAAACGTGTCTCACAGAGCGTGTATAGCAATGTGGTCGCTGTCAGACGTGTCTCCCAGAGCGTGTATAGCAATGTGGTCGCTGTCAGACGTGTCTCCAAGAGCGTGTATAGGAATGTGGTCGCTGTCAGACGTGTATCCCAGAGCGTGTATAGCAATGTGGTTGCTGTCAGACGTGTCTTCCAGAGCATGTATAGCAGTGTGGTCGCTGTCAGACGTGTCTCCCAGAGCGTGTATAGCAATGTGGTCGCTGTCAGACGTGTCTCCCAGAGCGTGTATAGCAATGTGGTCGCTGTCAGACGTGTCTCCAAGAGCGTGTATAGCAATGTGGTCGCTGTCAGACGTGTCTCCCAGAGCGTGTATAGCAATGTGGTCGCTGTCAGACGTGTCTCCCAGAGCGTGTATAGCAATGTGGTCGCTGTCAGACGTGTCTCCCAGAGCGTGTATAGCAATGTGGTCGCTGTCAGACGTGTCTCCCAGAGCGTGTATAGCAATGTGGTCGCTGTCAGACGTGTCTCCAAGAGCGTGTATAGCAATGTGGTCGCTGTCAGACGTGTCTCCCAGAGCGTGTATAGCAATGTGGTCGCTGTCAGACATGTCTCCCAGAGCGTGTATAGCAATGTGGTCGCTGTCAGACGTGTCTCCCAGAGCATGTATAGCAGTGTGGTCGCTGTCAGACGTGTCTCCCAGAGCATGTATAGGAATGTGGTCGCTGTCAGACGTGTATCCCAGAGCAGGTATAGCAATGTGGTCACTGTCAGACGTGTCTCCAAGAGCAGGTATTGGAATGTGGTCACTGTCAGACGTGTCTCCAAGAGCAGGTATAGGAATGTGGTCGCTGTCAGACGTGTATCCAAGAGCATGTATAGGAATGTGGTCACTGTCAGACGTGTCTCCAAGAGCAGGTATTGGAATGTGGTCGCTGTCAGACGTGTATCCCAGAGCATGTATAGGGATGTGGTCGCTGTCAGACGTGTCTTCCAGAGGAGGTATAGGAATGTGGTCACTGCCAGACATGTCTCCCAGAGCAGGTATAGTAATGTGGTCGCTGTCAGCCGTGTATCCCAGAGCATGTATAGGGATGTGGTCCCTGTCAGACGTGTTTCCCAGAGCATGTATAGGAATGTGGTCCCTGTCAGACGTGTCTCCCAGAGCAGGTATAGTAATGTGGTCGCTGTCAGACGTGTATCCCAGAGCATGTATAGGGATGTGGTCCCTGTCAGACGTGTCTCCCAGAGCATGTATAGCAATGTGGTCGCTGTCAGACGTGTCTTCCAGAGGAGGTATAGGAATGTGGTCACTGTCAGACGTGTCTTCCAGAGCAGGTATAGGAATGTGGTCACTGTTAGACGTGTCTGCAAGAGCAGGTATAGGAACGTTGTCACTGGCGTGTATCACGAATTAAGACACAAGATCGCTAGATTATGTCTCGTAGAACATCATTAACACCGTTGTATATGGACGAACAGCAGATAGTGAAATGGGTTAATTTAAGGATGCCATACAGTAAGCTCCATGTTTGTTTCTGTTTTCAGGCATGCGCAGTGCAGGTGACAAATGACGGCGGCAATATGAACATGTTCAGCGAGTGCGTGCCACAATCGGTACGCCTGGAGTTACTTCCCCTGTCTATAATGTCTGTACTGATGTTGAAGAGGCTACCAGAATGATTAGCCGAGTGAGTGAGTTAGTGAGTGAGTGAGTGAGTGAGCGGGAGGGTGTTTAGTAGGGTGGGTGGGTGAGTGAGTGAGTGAGTGAGTGAGTGTTTGAGTGGGTGTTTGGGTGAGTGGGTTGGTGAGTGAGTGAGTGAGTGAGTGAGTGAGTGAGTGAGTGTTTGGGTGAGTGAGAGTGAGTGAGTTGGTGGATGGGTGAGTGAGAGTGAGTGAATTGGTGGGCGGATGGCAGGGTGAGTGAGTGAGTGAGTGAGTGAGCGGGTGGGTGTTTGGGTGGGTGAGTGAGTGAGTGAGTGAGTGTTTGGGTGGGTGAGTGAGTGAGTGAGTGAGTGAGTGAGTGAGTGAGTGAGTGAGTGAATTGGTGGGCGGATGGGTGGGTGAGTGAGTGAGTGAGTGAGTGAGCGGGTGGGTGTTTGGGTGGGTGAGTGAGTGAGTGAGTGTTTGGGTGGGTGAGTGAGTGAGTGAGTGAGTGAGTGAGTGGGTGAGTGAGTGAGTGAGCGGGTGGGTGTTTGGGTGGGTGAGTGAGTGAGTGTTTGGGTGGGTGAGTGAGTGAGTGAGTGAGTGTTTGGGTGGGTGAGTGAGTGAGTGAGTGAGTGTTTGGGTGGGTGAGTGAGTGAGTGAGTGAGTGAGTGGGTGGGTGGGTGAGTGAGTGAGTGAGTGGATGGGTGGGTGGGTGGGTGAGTGAGTGAATGAGTGAGTAAGTGGGTGGATGGGTGGGTTTGAGTGAGTTAGTGAGTGAATGGGGGGGGGGGGGGGGGGGGGGTAGGTGAGGTGAGGGGAGTTAACTCTGCATGGCGACTATCGGCTCCTGGAATCCCATGGTCAGGAATGTATTCTTCTTATTTCAGGAATGCAACTTCTTGCAAACCAACTACATGCATCAAGCCAGCTCCCATCAATCCATCCTCTGTGGCAGTTGCTGTGGCAACATGACATGCGCAGTAGACGAATGTAAACGTCAACGTAAGTTTCCCGGGATGTTTCACCTACAGATACGACACGCTAGCTTTGATTTTAGAAAGTTTGGTTTATGTAAATGATTTTTTCCCACTGGTAAAAGAAAAAAAGGTAGTCTACGTAGCGGGTATATTTTCTGCCGCTCCACATTGGTTAGTCTTCATTCGTGACGTCAGGGGATTTATATTTTCTCTTAATTTTTCAGCCTTTGTACATGTAAAAAAACAATAAAGCAGTCGGATGTGAAGCATGAAACATATTTAATGCGCGTTCTGTTACAAATTCAATGAAGCGTGGTTAAATATACAGGTAACCTCCTCTACAGTGTATCTTTATCTCCATTCTAGCGGGAAAAATTTAAACGTTCACTCTTTGGTGTTAGCCAATATATTGAGTGACGACCAGTGTTTGAAGTGGGTTGTCGACATGAAATAAGGAAATATCGATAATAAATTTTGAACCATTTTGTACTGTACATGCTCAACCATTGCTCTTTTTAAAATTATATATTACACGTATATAAAACAGGCTTTGAAAGTGTGCAGCAAATACAATTGAACACCATAAAGAAAATTCAGCAAGCCTCGCCAAGTTTAGTTCCGTCTGTGTATTACATCGCAACGCGACGCATTGCAAAACACAAAATATGACGTCATAGCCGGCTGGTTCCTAAAACTTGAAATGCACTCACTTGTGTCGATTTATATCGCGCTGTGTACCTAGATTGTATTGCTACACATACTTTAAATATTGTAACACCGGGAATCTGCATTTTTATACGTAATTTAAAATTGTAATGATTTATATATGCCCATCGACAATGAAGGAAAAAGAACTGATCTATTAATATTTACTTCCGGGGTGATGCGGCCGTCAAATCGACTGTTTCAAACGGAGCTGGTTATTGTGATTTGATCCCTCTGATTGGCCAATAATCGAGTAATTTCGAAATTCATATAAAATATGTTGTGATAGTATCTTTAGGGTGTATTGGAGCTGAGCATACTGTGTTCTCAATGTAGAGCTAGGATATCAGTAGATTTAACCGGACCAAATTGAATTTGAAACCGAACGCACCTTTTACGAAAGTGTGTAGCGCAGGTACTTCGTAAGCTATCACGAAGCTGACAGCCCAAGGCATTCGTCACCACTCCCCTCTTTCCGTAACCGGCTTGTCCCGGAGTAACCCGTGTTGGTCACCTCTCGTCACTATTATGACGTCACGCCGCTCACTGTGACGAAAAAGATACGACGCCATAGTCGAATATAGAAAAACGACACATTTCAAGCTCTCTGTTCTTAAAATCTTGACTGACACTTCCTGAGTCGATGTTTGTCGTCTTTTCGGCCAAAATGTATTGCCATACATACTTTGAAAGTTGTAGTGACCGTACATTTCCTAACCTATAATTGTACAAAATTATTTCAAAATGCCAAACACCGACGACGACTGACCGATGCGGTCGACTGTTTCAATAAATGGTGGTTATTGTTATTTGATACCTCCGACTGACCAAAACAAATCTAGTAATTTCTTTATTTGTCGAACAATTATTTTGTGACAGTGCGGATGTTTTTCATATTTTCAAACCTATAATTGTACATAATTTCTTCATATTGCTAGTACCGACGATGACTGGTTGATGCGTTCGACTGTTTCAAACACTGGTGGTTATTGATATTTGATACTGGTCGATTGACCAAAACAAATCTATTAATTTCTTTATTGGTCGAACAATATTTTGTTCCAGTGTTGTCCGTGGTGGCCATGGGATGATCTGGACACCGACCAGGACACTACTATGCCAGACGCTGGACAGTACAAGTGGAGAAATAGAAACACTATTGTACAACCAATAAACAACAATGTGTCACATGACAAAAACAGACCAATGAGTCATGTTATTGATGCTCCAAGAGTTTGGTTTGGTTTGCTGTTTTACGCCGCACTCAGCAATATTCTAGCTATATGACGGCGGTCTGTAAATAATCGAGTCTGGACAAGACAATGCAGTGATTGACATCATGAGCATGGATCCACGCAACAGGGATCGATGACATGCTGCATCAACCAAGTCAGCGCGCCTGACTACCCGATCCCCTTAGTCGCCTCTTACGAAAAGATAGTCGCCCGATGCTCTAAGAGTACCAGAAATAAGGAATGGGTGAATGTTGTTTGAAGGCGCATACAGCAATATTCCAGCTATACTACGGAGGCCGTGATCGTGTGTTGACCTGACAAACCAGTGACTGAAAGCATGAGCATGTCTCCACCCTAACTTGTCACGACTCATACTGCCTGAACAACTACCCAAACTCGCAACAGCGTCGCCTGTGACTTAAAGCAAAGGTTTGGGAGTAGTTCAAACGTTCGTTGTACGGTGAAAGACCCCCACCCCTGTCTGACAAGTACACAGGTAAAGGTACCACTGCATTGAGCTATTAAAAATATACCAACAAAGGTTATGGGACGCAGCACCAACAGAGGGATGACGAACAGTATTGTCGTTTTACTTATAATTAAAATAAGAACATATTGCATTGAGTTTGTTTGATGTAAAACTTGCAGACCTGGTAAATATCCAGGCTGAGCTCACTCACTCACTCACTCACTCACTCACCCACTCACTCACTCACTCATTCACTCACTCACTCACTCACTCACTCACTCACTCACTCACTCACTCACTCACTCACTCACTCACTCACTCACTCACTCACTCACTCACTCACTCACGCACTCACTCACGCACTCACTCACTCACTCGGTATCATCACTTTTTGATTATGAGTGGTTTTACGCATCTAGCAGTATTCCAGCAATATCACGGCGGGGGACACAACAAATGTGCTTCACACATTGTACCCATGTCGGGAATCGAACCCAGGTCTTATGACGTATTTGGTTATGCTATAGTCGGAATTGTACAATGGATTCTGCTTTTAGCAGAGAATTCTGGCTAAGACATCATTCACATAGTGAGGCAAGCATAAAAAATGGCAATCATACTCCTCTGGGACAACTTTCTTGAAATAGCCCGTTAGCCATGAAAACTAAAAACAGCGGCCATGTGTTCAAGATGGTCAACATCTCAGGTAATTAATACCATTTCGTCTAAATAGGTGACTGAACCAATGCTTTTGATGTGGAACCATATATTTTTTTACCAATTCAGAAGCCACTGCTACTAATCGTTAAACAATCGGAATCTTTATATATGACAGATCTATTTGTTTTCATCATGTATTTACTTTGATATACATGTATATGTGTATTTTGTATATTGTGTTTCTTTCTTGAATATTTTGCACTGAATTTATCCTGATCAAAAAGAGTTACTGACCTTTGACTAACATCTTTTTGTTCATTGTCATTCAAAACTTCTTAGAGCGATGTTCAGATCTAACATAATTTCAATTTTATGCAATTGCACCTCCACAAAGCTGAACATGGTGGACCAAGACGACAAAACTTGCACCTGCATGGCATTGGGTGAGGAAGACGCACTTTCACAGCTGTTGACAACTCTTTGCATTTGGTAGAGGTGCCCAAAGGTGCCCACACGTCATCTTGCTTCTTCTATCCTCAGTCAGCATGACTTTCACTTTCCATTGGGCATGTGTTTGCCTTGCCCCATGTGGAGCCTGCTTGGTAGGTGGCACGCTTAACATGTTGGATTAGAGCTGCCCGAGGAATAGATCACTGCTTTAGAGCAAACATGTCCAGTCTTGCTTCATCAGTACTTTCAGCGGTATCACACCTATCGACATCATGACAACAAACATTTCCAGTATTGTCTCGTCTACATCTTCTGTTTCTGGTTGGGCGGTCGGGTAGTCTAGAGGTTAAAGCCTCTCTCTCTCACACACACACACACAAACACACAGTGATATTGCTGGAATATTGTTAAAAGTGGCGTAAAACTATACTAACTCACTGACTCTATTTCTGGTGGGTATTGACTGAGCATGTCTCCTTCACCACGAAAGGCTGACACAACATCATAGGCAGTGAAAGCATGGAAGAAGAGAATGCTTCTGGACTTCTCATGAACAAATGAGTGATGTATTGGAATCCACTTCATGTTTTGGCCTTGACCAAATGCAACCAGCAAATATTCTAAACCAAGATTCTGTAGAAGCGGTAGAACACTGACTGCTGTGACAAGAACATCTGCGTAGCGTTTTCCATGGGGAGTTTCTTACCCTCTGCTGCAGCATGACTGGCGTCCATACAAATTCTCGTATCTACTTCTTCATGGCCATGGTTGCAAGGTTCCACGGAGTCAGTCCTTCAAGGCTAATTGATTGATTTGAGACGACACCTTCTTCCTGTCACTATCACTGTCACTATCTCAATAAATCAGCCAGGAAGTTAAAGAACTTCTGTCAATTTTGTTGAATTTTCTCTTTGTAACCCTGCGAATAGATCCTATGCCTTGCTCTGACCATGTTTCAGCTTTCAGACCAGGGGACCAATAGACATGAAACACCATGTCTCATGCACGTAGAACTGTATGCATGCACTTTGGTGATCACATCTAGTGCTGCATATTCCTCAAACGTCTGTAAGGTCCGTGGTGGCAGTGAGATCACTAAACCAGAACCATCAATGATGATGACGATAACATGTGATTGCATCAGGAGGTGTAATATGAGACTCAAGGTATTGAAGCAAGCTGGGACTTCTGCACATTCTCACATTCTCTGGACAGGCACGATGGAGAATAGACGACAGGCCCCTTTAAAATCCTTTGGTTTAAACACCATTGATTTGTTTTCATTCTGAATTCACTGAAGCGGCATTTGTCTTCAAATAATGTGGCATTCATTTCAGCAGCACTAAAATAGGCAATGTTCTTACAAATGTGAGTAATTCTCCAGCTTCTTCCATGAATGGATGTCCCATCTCCTTCATCACAGAATACAACTTTTTTTGTATTTGTTCTGTCTGTTTATGGTGTCTGACATTTGCATCTAGCCTCAGATGCTGCTTCGTACCAGCTACCATCCATATTCTTAGTGCTGATAAATCTTCAGTCACAGATATCGCCATTGACCTGCTCCTGAGACTGTTCGATGGCTTTGTTTGTGTACAACAATTTTTTTCAGTTATGGAATTCCAGCGCCAACTGGGGATAACTCATCTCTACGGTCATCGTGTCCCTGAGATGAATGTGAAGCCATCGTGTATAGTTCACACTTTTGTTGGTCAAAAAGAAGGGTCTCAGTCCCTACAGCTCTTGACAGTACAAGCTAAATTTGGTTTCTCGGGATGCAGGGACCATGGAAAGATTGCCAAATCCATTGACAACTGAAATTGTGGATTTACATGTTTCTCACACCAATTTTCGAAACTAAGCACATCCTCTTCATTGGCCACTGTGCTGTTAGAAATGTAGTCTTCCTTCAGGAGTTTGTTGAGACTGGTTGAGGTAACCAGGTGCATATGTTGTGTTCTAGTGACACTGGAAGCAAATAGAAATGTCCTGCTGCTCCCAAAGATGCTATCCCTGCTCCTTTGCACCCTCTGTCTTGGACCGCAGTAAATTGTCCAGCACACTCAGATATTGGATACAACTAGGTTCGGGTATAAGAAAATTGCTCTACACCTAGCCTGGTCGTTGATCTTGTGTAATTTAAGTCCCGAGCGATCTCTACACCATCTGGATAACAAAAACCCCGTTATACGTGGCTTGGCTGTCCGCCCTGCCACACCCTGTCGATGAGGTGTGGCTATGTAACTGGTACTACAACTATCCATACTGCAAGCTAATGCGTGTGGGGTTAGTTATATAACATTTGGGACATTAATTTAACTTCACTCCACTGGTTATGTAGGCGCGCCCATTCTGAGTGTCACGGCAGTGACGCCACCAATGCTCCCTTGTAGTGCCTTGACATTAACTCTCTATTTTCTTTCTAATGTTGTTTACCGGTATTCATTAATTTTACATTTGTACTGTGTTGTCAACAAATATTGTATGTACACTTATGTTCGTTTATAGATATGCATGTTGGTTTGTACTGGAATGTTGTTTACAGATATGCACGTTGGTATGTCCTACAATGTTGTTTACAGGTATGCTCGTTGATGATAATACGGTAAACAATTTCTTGGCATTATCTATTTGACCTTGTGAATGACAGTTTAATCCTGCCATGACTTTTCCAGGCCGAGTCGGTCTTTGTTGTAAACAAACAGACCAGGGGGACATATTAACACGATAATAGCCCCACTCCGGTTCCTGGGGGTCATTTGTTTATACCTTGTGTACACTGGCTACCCCCTTCAGACGCAGTTGGGTGGCATGGGTGTCTATTTACCTAGACAATTGAATATCTACGACATGTCGTAAACCGCCCATTTTATGGCAGATGTCGTTATGCGATCGCGAGCAAGCCACCACTGTATATTCCATAACACATTTGCTGTGAGGGTTTTAATTGAATATCTACGACATGTCGTAAACCGCCCATTTTATGGCAGATGTCGTTATGCGATCGCGAGCAAGCCACCACTGTATATTCCATAACACATTTGCTGTGAGGGTTTTAATCGTACCTTTACATACTTGAACACCTTGAGTCTTTTAACGTGACTTTCCGGTGCTTTAAGTGCACTGATCCGTGCAGTAAGTTATATTGACAATTGAACATTGAACAGCTACAAGCTAGATAGCACACGCTTCTTGTCAGCTAACAGTAAACCGACGGAGGCTACCGGCAGTACTGTAAACGTGTACAGGTATTGATGAGTGACATGGTGAGTAAATCACAGCTTGGTTGAGCCTGTCATGTTGAGCTTTATGGAATGAGTAATGTTGATACAAATATTTAATATTCATCCATTTAATGTCATTGAGGTTTGAATATAACACTAGGTACACCAACGTGATCCAAACGCCGTGATCTGTTGTGTCCGTTGAAGGGTTTGAATTCAGGACACTAGCAAGATTCACTGTTTCCGTCCTGTCTTTTAACATGTTTGTTTTTTGGTATAATTAGAAAAGACATGCCCATGTTTTATATATATACTGTGAATAGACAACACAAGATACTTTGTTTCATGTTGCCGTTTTGGCGGTGGGGTAGCCTAGTGGTTAAAGCGTTCGGTCGTCACTCCGAAGCCCCGGGTTCGATTCCCCACATGGATACAATGTGTGAAGCCCATTTCTGGTGTCCCCCGCCATTATGTTGCTGGAATATTTCTCAAAATGGTGTAAAACCATACTCACTCACTCACACACTCACTCACTCACTCATGTTGCCCCGTGTTGTACAAAACAACTCACGAACATGCAGTACTACGTTATAACTTCATGACACAATTCAATGTTTGTTCAATGTTATAACTTCATAACACAATGTAATGTGTGTTTTGTTATAACAAGATAAAACAATTCAATGTTTGTTCTGTTATAACTTCATAACACAATTCAACGTTTGTTCAATGTTATAACTTCATAACACAAATCAATGTTTGTTCTGTGTTATAACTTCATAACAATTCAATGTTTGCTCAATGTTATAACTTCATAACACAATTCAATGTTTGTTCAATGTTATAACTTCATAACACAATTCAAAGTTTGTTCTACTATAACTAGATCCACTTTTGTTCTGTCTTGCAAGAAGAGAGCACAAATAAATGTTTTTTCCAAAATTATATTAAGAAAACTCCAGTCCATGCCTGTCCGATGTTTTACAAACAAGATCATGCCAGAGTTTTATCAAGGTAATTTATGTCCATGTTTGTCATCAGTAATAATACATATAAACAAATGGCCTCAAGTCAATGTTTAATTCCTATATCATATCAAGGGAATTCTAAGGGGTTCATGTTTTCGCCAATGCTCTTTCGATCGAACTAATGATTTTGAGATAGTTTAGTTTTATGTTTTCTATATAACCATAGAAAATACGTATTTTGTACTCGCTGTAGTGAAGGGCGTTAAGGTGCAGAGTTGCCTCCCTGGGCAACCGAGATACGCTGATTCGCGCCTATTGTGAACGTTGGCCTGTCAGAACAATACCCTTACTTGTTAAATGCCAGCCGACCAATACATTATATTCACTTTTTGAATTAGAAATGATTTTTTTTCTTATGCCCAAGTTTTTTTTTCAGAAACCGTTCAATCATAATATGAACCTAAGTACATGAAATCTCAGATATATACATTCGACCATTTGTTGATGTACCGCAAACTGAATGTTAAGTTGATAGTGTTAACGTTAAACATATTCCATTTCTGTCCACACAAAGCTTTGAAATCAAACCCTGTATATACTCCAGTTCGTGTAAACACGTATTAATCTCGTATGACTCAATACGTCTGAATATGTTGATAGGGTAGCATTCATACGATCCATTAAGAGCCAATCTTTTGAAATGTGCCCACACTACAACGCTGTAATGCTATCACACAAACTGTCACTGGAAGTAGCCCTTCATTCATTGCAATTGGAACGTAATCTATTGAACTCTATATCGGATTATGGGGGGATTAATGCATATCATTTATCGACACATACTGAGATCCCTTCTAGTAAGTCCCTCTTTCACTGACGTTCGTCAATGGCTTGGACTCAAGTTCTACAAATAACGACTACTCTCCGCGCGCTTTGAAAGACTGCTTCAAACCTAGGAGCATGTTTTGTTGACAATCATTCAGTAGCCGTGTAAATGAGAGTGTAGATGTGTGAGCGTTGCTAATGAGTAAGACTGTCAGGTGGGAAGCATGGCGATTGGCGTACATATTATGTGACAAACAAACGACAACATTGACGTATACCTCATACGACAACATTGACAACCACCTCATACGAAGACGTTGACTTGTTCACGTGCACCTCATACGACAACACTGACATCGACTCATACGGCAATATTGACGTCGCCTCGTACGGCAAAATTGACGTCACCTCATACGGCAACATTGACGTCACCTCATACGGCAACACTGACATCGCCTCATACGGCAACATTGACATCACCTCATACGGCAACACTGACATCACCTCATACGGCAACATTGACGTCACCTCATACGGCAACACTGACATCGCCTCGTACGGCAACATTGACGTCACCTCATACGACAACACTGACATCGTCTCGTACGGCAACATTGACGTCACCTCATACGACAACATTGACGTCACCTCATAAGGCACCACTGACATCGCCTCATCCGGCAACATTGACGTCACCTCATAAGGCAACATTGACATTACCTAATACGACACCATTGACACCATCTCATACGGCAACACTGACATCGCCTCATACGGCAACATTGACGTCACCTCATAAGGCAACACTGACATCGCCTCATCCGGCAACATTGACGTCACCTCATAAGGCAACATTGACATTACCTAATACGACACCATTGACATCATCTCATACGGCAACACTGACATCACCTCATACGACAACATTGACGTCACCTCATAAGGCAACATTGACCTCAACTCATACGACAACATTGACGTCACCTCATAAGGCAACATTGACATCACCTCATACGACAACACTGACATCGCCTCATACGACAACATTGACATCACCTCATACGACAACACTGACATCGCCTCATACGGCAACATTGACATCGCCTCATACGACAACATTGACATCACCTCATACGACAACATTGACATCACCTCATACGACAACATTGACATCGCCTCATACGACAACATTGACATCACCTCATACGACAACATTGACATCACCTCATACGACAACATTGACATCGCCTCATACGACAACATTGACATCACCTCATACGACAACATTGACATCGCCTCATACGACAACACTGACATGCACCCCAAACAACAATATTGACGTTCGCCTCATGCGACAACATTGACGTATATCTCATTAGACAACATTGACGTTCATCTCATACGACAACATTGACGTTCACCGGATCATACGACATCATCGACGTGCACCTCATACGACAACATCGACGTGCACCACATACAGCATTGACTTCAGCCTGAAAACACACCATTTGCGTATTTGCGTATACGTTTACCATATCTCCAAATTTTTTAGCATAAATATTGCAGGGTAAAATCCATTTCTTTACTCTCGCGTAACGCGCATGCGTGTTTACGAATGTGTTTGCGATTGAAATCGGTCCGGGAGCCAATTTTGACGCATACACGTACGCACCAACTGCAAATGTTTTCGTTGTCGTTTGCATAGGCATTGCTCGTTTATAATATATTTACGCTGAACGCACGCGGCCATACACATGTGTACACGCAAACAAGGTGTTTTCCTATGTTCGTACGTCAAATATGACGTTATGACGTAAGCATCATGTGACAACCATGATGTACACATCATTTGACAATGTACACCTAATAGTTCATTCGTCCACACACACACACACACACACACACACACACACACACTCACTCACTCACTCACTCACTCACTCACTCACACACACACACGCACACATGCACACTCACACACTCACACACTCACACGCACGCACACACACACATACATATAGATAGAGTGCGTGAATGAGTATGGTTTTACGCCGCTTTGAGCAATATTCCAGAAATATAACTGCTGGGGACACCAGAAATGGGCTTCACACATTGTATCTATGTGTAGCCATGTCTTCGTTATGACGAGCGGACGCTTAAACCACTGGGCTACCCCACCTCTCCTACACACACACACACACACACACACACACACACACAGAGTCACAGTCACAGTCACACAAACATATATATATAACGCTGTCTAGCCCCCTAACTGCTGGTTATTATACACGTAATGCATTGAGAATGATCAATGTCAGTGTATTCACGTTATGTATTTGACCGTACCTTTCACATGCTGATGATAATTCTGGAATAACCTTTCTTACCCGTGAAGGAGTTATTGTAAGAGGCTACAGTTATCCATTTATTTATGTTTTTGTTTATTTATACAATATTTGATTTTTATTAGCTCCCAGTAATTGAGTGTAAATATATTCAGTGAAATATCCGGATATATAGCTGCCGACACCGTGCTGTTTCTCACGTGTATATTGATTATGAATAGACGACACAAGCACCTGCCGCGCACAGCAAACACGTGCCTCCGTAACGCGGTCTTACGTAACGTCCACTGTTTAACTAGTCCAAGGAACGGCATTGATGGTTGTTCTATTTTTTTTGGAACAAGTACACATAAGTTAAACTGAAAGGCGTGTGATTGGAACGTCAACCATCACCCCGACACACAATGCCTCGACACACACGCCGTTACAACGCTCGTAGAGACAGGGTGGTATTTGCGGGTCGAGTGAACAAACTCAATACTCCGTCAGCTCGGAAACTGCTGTCAATGTAGGGGGACGTGAATACCCGGGGTAGGACAAGAAGACACATGAGAACATCCACCCACATACAGGTATGTTCACCTGATCCTAGTTTGTTTGCTAACGGATTTTGATCAAAGTTTTTGATTTACATACTTGACGTTTTCAATACGGACTATCAGGTTCTGTGTTATTTACACACCGATGGGTGTGGCTCTTCTGTCAGGGGCTAGTCTATGACTCTATAAGAAAAGATAAAACGCGTATCTATTATTTATTTCTGACATACGGATTGAGTGATAATACAATGATATTAAACTGATATCTTTACATGTGTGATATTTTTCATATGCCTTTACTTTTAAATCAAATTTCTTTGTTAATGTCAACCAATCACCAACCCAAACCTTAATGTCAC